AGAGCCAAAGATGCAGAAGGACCTCTTTGGGTAACTCAGCTAAAAAGTCAGGACTTCAGGGACAATGCATGAAAGGTACGCAACCCTCACTTTTATGTCATACATTGGCAGCTAACAGTCACTTTTGTGCATTCCCAACTTTTGTGCATTCTATTGTAGGTGGACGATGCTCCTGCTCTAGACATTCATTTCCATGATTAAAGTAGGTTGATCCGAGCTGATTTGGTTGAGTTACGCTCACACAAGATTACATCGGTTGAGCTACATCGAGCGTGCTTTATGTCCAGAGTGATGTAATCTCTCTTTGACCGCAACTCAGTCAAATCAGCTCGGATCAACCTACTTTAATCATGGAAACGAATGTCTGGTGCAGGTGAATCGTTCGTATGCAGTGGAGTATGCAACAATGCTGATTGTGAAGAAATGGCTGATAGCGTGCAATATGGTCTATTGTGGATAGACCATAAAGTATATCATCCATCCATACTTCAGCCATGCAAATGAGCTGGGTTACACAAAGACGCCCCTCTGCATCTTTTGCTCTCTCAGGGCGTATCATTTTCATCATTCAACTCTCATGATCCGAGACGATTTGACTGAACAAAATCTAATTCAACATGCCTCTCAACGCATCCCAAGATTACCATGGCAACACCAATACGAGGACAACAGTATCGATAATCAAACAATGACGCCCATCTGCCATCTCACAATCCGTAATGTACACATACCATGCCTCCTTTCTTGATACACCTAAAGCAAAGTTTTCATAATAGCCAAGATACATATTCGTTCTATGATTACTTTATTCATGTTCGTCTGCTAGGGTGTTGTGTATGATGTCCTCTTCGACATGATATTATATGATGGATGAAACATTAATCAAGCTGAATGGCGAGATATTTATTACTGTATTCATAAGGTAAGGAAGGAGTGGGCATGGTAGTCTATAGCTGGTGATAGTGTGAAGACGCAATATGAGGATGTAGGGATTCACCGTATTATGTGCATGATACAGGTACCACCACAAGGAGTCCCACTAGGCAATTTGAACAGGAGCCTGATTGGTGAGCTGACAATGGGTGGCTTCAAATCCGTTTTTGGCTTCGAGTTCCCGCTGACTTTTTTAGCCCACCTTTCTACTCTTCACTGCCAACGTCCGCATTTGTACATAATACCTCATGGTAAATAACGGATCACGATCTTGCCAATGGTCGACCAATTTACTTACTGTATACCTTTGATCGGATTGTATAGCCCCAAAACGAGCATATTGAAGAGCACATTAAGCGCCATGGTCGGCGTCTCGACTACGAGGAGCGAAAGTAAGACCAAGATCCTCAAAGTAAAAGCGGATTGGTTTGTTGACTTGTATGATTTAGGCGAAAGCGAGAGGCTCGTAAGGCACACAAGGATTCGCAATATGCTCAAAAGATCCATGGTTTGAAGGCCAAGTTGCACAACAAGAAACGACACGCTGAAAAGATCCAGATGAAGAAGACTATCAAGCAGCACGAGGAGAAGAATGCCAAACAAAAGAGTGCAGACGCTGTACCCGAAGGTGCCGTGCCAGCTTATCTTTTGGATCGTGAGGGTCAGGATCGTGCCAAGGTGTTGAGTAATATGGTCAAGCAAAAGCGTAAAGAAAAGGCTGGCAAATGGTCTGTGCCGCTGCCGACTGTGCGTGGTATGGCTGAAGATGAGATGTTCAAGGTGATCAAGACTGGTAAATCCAAGAGCAAGTCATGGAAGCGTATGATCACCAAGGCAACTTTTGTCGGCGATGGATTCACTCGTAAACCACCAAAATACGAACGTTTCATTCGACCTATGGCAATGCGTTACAAGAAAGCACATGTCACTCATCCAGAGCTTAAGGCTACTTTCCATCTTCCTATCATTGGCGTCAAGAAGAATCCACAATCTCCCTTGTATACCCAACTCGGTGTTATCACAAAGGGTAGTGTTCTCGAGGTGAATGTCTCTGAATTGGGTCTCGTCACCACTGGTGGTAAGGTCGTTTGGGGTAAATACGCACAGGTCACCAATAATCCAGGTAAGAACAATACAACAAAGGGATGTTGTTCTATTGAAGCTGATGACCTTTTGTGTAGAAAACGATGGTTGTATCAATGCTGTGCTCCTTGTTTAGATTTCATTACTTTCATCTTAATCTCTCTCCTGTACACGCTCTCTTTTCATCCTCTTATTCCATCATTTCGTATCTCATTATTCATTTGCAAGTGTTCATTAAATATTCAGTGTTGATTCAGCTGCGATTTGGCATGTCATTTACTACAAAATGTAATGTATAGCAGAACCTTGGACTTCCTCTCTAGTGAAGGTGTATGTTTTATTTTCGACTTCCAGGTTTTCGTTCACTGCTATCCCACCTATACGTTTCCTACATACACCGTATTGAACAATAAGAGCAATAAAGTTTACTGGGGTAAAGATTTGAACATGCTGTACAGCATACCTTAGAATGCTTCTCTGCCCCTGCCAACAAAGTTCGGATCCATCCATCATTATAGCCCAAGGAGCATTGCTGGGTGAGCTGCCATTCTCATGATCTCTTATAGACAAGTGTGATAAACGTAGGGACTTCCATCCATAGTGGATCATCGACCTCTTTGTAGGCATCGTGCATGTTTCATGCACCAAGTTTTGTTTAAACTCAGATGGCGCTAGCACCATCGCAGCTTCACCATAGACCATGCAAAGGATTCAACTTTGGCAGATGCATTGAGAGGGGGGGCAGCTAATCAAAAGGAATGAGAATAAGCGCTTCATAAAGTAATGTGTTTATGCTTTACCCTATAAAGAGAGCCAAATATCACAATGAAAGTAGGTTGATGGTATTGACGTATTATCACAGCAACTCGCAAAGAGCGCTATGTTCCCTGGCATATCACATCAACTTGTTCTTTGAATGTGTTATCAATCAAAGAGTGAGATGATGGGAGTCCATAAGATGCTATGTAGGCGACACTTATTTGTAGATCACGATCCTGTTATGTCTAAGCGGAAAGAGTGATGGGGGACTCTGCATGATTGATACAGTAAAACGGAAGCAAACCATTTCGCCAGCAAGATGTTTGAAGAGGCTAGGTACTATGGTAATCGATGCATAAATCAGCAATGACATAGCCAAATTAGGGCACCCTGCAATACCCACTACCGAATTTTTCTGCTTAAATAATAAGGAATAGAAGTTGATACAATGCTCCTTAAGCGAAGTAACACGTACAGAGAACGTGTTACTTGTATATGAAGACGACGCAACGGCTTGCATAAGGATACCAGCATGGATTGGCGACGAAACTCAAGGTATCACTCATGATAAACTAGTAGTCATTGTTGTTGTTATTGCTAAACAAAAAAGACACGTGATGTAGCCTTAGACGAGTATGTTGCGCATGTACATATGAAATGGTACATGTATTCAAGAGTTAATAGGTGATTATTGACCAAGTACAGCCTATGTCTTTATTCAAATGCCATAGACGATAAGGGTAATATCAATGTCTAAAACGAGGTGCTCTGACCATGTCATTTAATATGGCGGGGGACACATTAGCGAGACACCCATCTCAGCCGGTGCCGCTGTCGGTTTTCGGTTGTCGCCGCCGTTAACCTTTTCGCCTCTACTTGTATCCTCAGCACCCTTTCTTTATGCACTCGAACATGAATGACGGTTTACTTGCTAAACATGCACATATGAATACAGGTAACTACCTATTTTGCCTCCATCGGAATGTTCAAGGAGCTGATCGCTGACCGATCCGTTTGAAGCCGCCATTCCGCCATCTGCCGAGGACTTGGCACAAAAGCATCAGTCGTTGCTGCAGGAATACTCTCGGTAAAGACTTTTTAAACACGTTACTCTCTCATTCACACACCTATATTGACTATCGTCTATGAAAGGTTGAAAGCTAAGCACACGGTTCTGAAAAAGGCGGCACTCAAGGTAAGCTTACGAGAGAGCCACAGTATGCAAGGTTGCTTACAAGGACGTATGCTTGGTTAGGAACAAGCCAACAAGGCGCTATTGCAGAATAATGTCAAAGAGAAGGAAAAGGAGCTTAGGAAGGTAAGCTTGGGAATAGGTAGCTGTAATGTGGTTATGTAATATTCATTCCAGCGTGTATAGTTACAAGAGCAGCTTGATCTTTTGAGTTTCCACAATGAACGTTTGACAAAGCGAATTGATGCTGTTCAGGGTACCGAACAAGTAAGTGGCATGGATTTGCGTGGGACATCGTTATCTTATAAGCAATCTAGAAAGGATCCCATTTTTCACTTTTGGGTGGTGCAGTAAAGAAAGAACTTGAACGCAGTACACAAGCTTTGGATGCGATGAATGTGGATTTGGCCAAGAAGATTGAGGAAAATGGTAACAACTTGAGCATCATTCTACAACAAGTGATTGACAAGGATTTTTTATTACGCAGAACGGCTGCATGATGAATTATCCGAGAACCATCACATTTATACGGATCACGTCAACGGGTTGCATTTGACCATCGCCAAATTGGAGAAGCGAGTTGAGGAATTGCAAGTGGAGATATCCACCATTCAAAAGGACTCCCGTGAAAAGGCAACGACTTTGAAGAAGGAGAAGGAGAGCTTGCAGTCTCAAGTCGACTCTTTGAAGAAGGACATAAAAGAGTAAGCTATGGAATTGGGTACGTCAAAGATAAGATACTGATACACAAGGTCGACGCAGCAAGACTATTACACTGAAGGAGAATGAACAGACGATGGTCCAAGGAGACAAGGAGCTACGATTGGAAATCGAGAGTTTGCGAGCTATCTTATTGGCAAAAGCGGGTGACATTGAAGGACGTGAAGATGAAGACGAAGGATTGGTAAGGGTGTTTGATCGTGATGAGCTTGCTAGGTGTGCTAAAGTCATATGTTATTCAAGCCCAAGCTCGCTGACGTGATTCCAGCATGTGATGCATTGAAGATATTGGAGGAACAAGCCAAAAATTACATTTATGCTCTACGTGAACAAGTAAGTGATTCCAGGTATACAAATAATGTCATATTGATAGTCTTTTGTATTTCAGACGGCATTGAAAGGTTTACCACACGAGATTGCTGCCAAGCTCAAAACATCGAGTGAGACATGGTCTGAGCAAGTACAGAATTTGGCAAAGCGATTGGAGGAAAGTGAAGGTGGGTTACTCAATCATATCATTTATCGTGTACTTATTGATTTCATTAGCCCGAGTGAAGGAGTTGTTGAATGCAAGCCAAGGAGAAAAGGCGGAGTCATCGGATCAGATTGCTTCATTGCAAAAGAATATTGAGGATCTCAAGGAAGAGTTGAATCAACGACACACTTTGGAACAAACCGAGCAGTTGGAAAGGGCAAATCGAGAACTAGAGCAGCGAAACAAGGAATTGGATGAACGCAACGCTGAGCTAGAGGGGATTATCAAGAAGCAGGTACATGCATGAATCAATCATTTCCATCATCAAAGTGCTAATACATTCGATAGGAAACTGATCTCACAGATGTGAGGCGGCAACTCGAAGAATCGTTGGAGATGAATAAGACATTGCAAAAGGATCTTGTCGACAAGGAAACCCAAGCCAATATTGTTACCCCTGCAGCACCAGCACCAGATGCAGCACCAAAAGATACCAGTGAGGACGAAGATGATGGCGTTTTTGTATACCGCAGCAATGAGACAACCAATACACAGCAACCACAAGAAGAGGAGGAAGAAGAGGATGATGAAGTATTTGTTTATCGAGGACAAGATGCACCAGAAGAAACAACAGCATCCGAAGAGCAACAACAACAACAGCCTAATACACCTTCAGCAACACAAGCAACATTTGAAGAGAAGTATACACAAACCGAACAGCATCCACAAGATGAGAAGCAAACACAAACCGATACGACTGGTCAGCAGCAACAGCATGATGAGAAGCAAACGCAAACGGATGAGCAGCCTATTCACCATGATGTAAAAGAGACCCAGACCGACAAAGAGCAGCTACCTGATTACCTTGACGAGCAAACACAAACCGATCAGATGGCTTGTTTGGATGAGAAACAGACACAAACCGAAAAGCGCAATACTACAGATACAGCAACTGATGCTTTACCACCTCCACCACCAGCACCTCCAGCAGCAGCAGCGAACGAATCCGTTGATGTCGATGTGAGTGGCTTTAACATAGCAACGATATGCTGATGAGCTAATCTTTTGAATATTAGGCACAGCAAGCAGCCATGGAAGCGCATTATGAGAGTCAGCTCAAGCAGCTCAATGAAAAGGTATGTAATGACATGATTGAATTGGCAAGTTTATTGATCGCTTCTATTTGTAGCTTGAGATGGCTGACAGCAAAGCCTTACGATTTTCACAAATGGTGCAAGCACTTAAAGAACGGCTCACTTCAGAAGGTGAACAACGGAGTCATTTGGAGCAAGAAAATGAACGTCTACAAAAAGAAGTTGATAGAGTCAAGGTTAGTCACTATTGCGTAGGGCACAAGCGCATGAATCTCACGTCTTTATGTTGCATACTATAGGAACACCTTGAGACTACAGAAAAGAACTATCAGGATCAGATTGCGATGATGACTGAAAACTTTCTCACACAGCTCAATGATCTACAACAGCAACAGCAACCACCCATCGCTCGATAGTCATATATGTACCTTTATAAAACAATGCTATTATTATATTATCGTGATTCAGTCATAATGAATGGATGGTTTTTAATGCAATGATCTCTATGTTACACCTTTCTAAATTTGCCCTGGAGCCATACGCGATACATTTTAAGCTTTTTGCTTCGATTAACGATAAGACGCCGATCCACGGCATTTTGTTCCACAGTGAATCCTTGACCTGGAGCTTGAGCCGTAAACATATCCGCAATCTCATCCGGGGTGAAAAAGTAAACGCGCGTTCCATCGCCACGAATATAAAAGTTTTCTCTCAACATGCGTCTTTCCTTGAACCTCAGTTGTGCAAGATCGTATCGACCATAATCCCTGAATACCACTAATCCACCTGGTCTAAGCATCTATAAGCATGAAGAGTGAGATACATGAGGGACATGATGATGATGATGATGATGATGATGATGCATTATCCAACTTACTGTATGTATGTTCTTGATGGCTTGTTCCCATTGTTCTGGTGATAAAGCGGACAACACAAAGATCAAGACGACGATATCCAATGAACCTGGTTCAATAGCTTCAGGAATAGTGGGGCTAGCAAGATCCCATACGAATGCATTGGCTCTTGAAGTATCATACAATGGATTGCTCTTGACGACTTGTACTGCTGTGCTCGAGAAATCAGCTGCATATACGAATAGATCCGGATTTTGACTTTGCTGTAGTAATGGGAATAAGGTGTTGCCAGCTCCACAACCAATCTCGAAAATATGTTGCCTTCCTGCCTATGTATGTAGTAATGCATTGATTAGCTGGATGGATAAAGTGTATGATTGATAGGAAACTTACATCGCTATGAGTGGTATTGAAGATCTCAGGAAACTCGATACGTAACCAGTTACGATCCTTGAAGAAACGATTCTCATTCTTCTCATAAAACTTGTTCCAAAAGTCGGGTGCATGTTCATGGTATTGGTCTATAAAATACAGCATCAATATGCATGATGATAGCCTCTCCCCCCCCCCACTTTCCGCCATCCTTACCTTGTTCTTCCTCGGGTACAGGGGCTCCTTTATGTCTGGCAATTTGTGCTTGAGCGTAGGCTTCTTGTTCAGCATCCCATTCGACATGATCCCTGACAAAAGTTGTTGTTGTTTAGATCGGTGGGTGGATGTGCTTTGATCTGGCAAAGACCTACCATGCATTGTGATCGAAGACGGCTTCCTTATCGTTCAAGAGACGCGATCCAAACTTGGCAGCTTCCTTGTCAGCGCTGTTGTCGACATCGAGTGCTGAAGACGTTTGTTTTTTGGAGTCTGACATGTTCGGGTGGATAAAGGAAAGACGAAAATGCAGCCACTGCCATTCATCCTCCTCTCCTCCTTCCTCATTCTTTACACCTCCACTACACCTCTCTCTCTTTCTTTCTTCCTCTTTCCTTATTGTCGATATAGGTTATACCATCATCCGATACACTTGTCGTTCACCCATATGCAGGGATAAATGAATTACTATGACATCATGTTGTACTCGATGGGCTTTTTTCCATGTCAGCCAGCTTCGCTGCTATCACCACAAAACCAAGAAGCGGATCATGGGTTACAAGCATCCCTGAATCACTCTTCCGATCTCGTTCCGATAACATTTTACTATTAAGTCAATCACACACATTGAATAAAGGGTCGATAATACATCATCAAATCCCATCATTGTATCAAATTCGTTATATTATTTTCCAAGTCGAGTTGCTATAATAGAGTAACCTACAAGTACTCTCTTCAGACTCATTGTTATGTGATCGCACCATCCGGATCCCACGTGCCACGCAAAATGAAATCCACGGACGCGTCATTGAGAGTGGGATCGTTTCAAACAAGAATGGTGCGGGCTTTTGTACTACTTAATAATGAATGAGAAAAAAAAGAAAGCACCGCGGTTTGCGGATCCCGGGACAGCATTTTTTCATCTTGATCACAGCACAGATCATCATCAACAGCAATGACAATGGGCCTTGAGTAACAATGCGCTCATTGTTAACATGATAAAAGAAGCTATGTAGATATGAATGAGAGGACAACTTGGATCCTTTGTTTATGGTTCATTCTCTTAGTGCCGTCTCGTTTGCTGATCAAATAGTAGACTGTGTATCACTTTTTAGTGTTACGACAGGGGCTGTGGTAAGATCTTCAAATGGGGTGATGTTGATTGCTTTTGAAGGAAGGAAGGACAAAGGTTGGGTAAGCTTTTGTATAAATGGTTGATCCAGGGAAGATGAACGACGATCCATTGACCAAGATTTCTTTTGCTCTCCCTGCTCTCATCTATTCACGAGGATATATAAGCTAGTAAATGATCATAGCGGGGGTCGCCAAAAGGGGAATAAGCACCAAAGCAATTAAATTAAGAAGCCGTTGTCTGTGCTACCACTTGTAAATGAAAAAAGATGGTCAAAAAATATGCATTGCTCACTCCGCTCTCCGCAAACTCGTGAGTTTCCCGCACCTTTTCATTTTTTGGTTGGTGTCCTTTACTCTTTCTTTCTCGCTTTCAACCCTTTCTTTCTTTGTTCTCAACGACAATCCATTCTTTTTTAGCATTCTCGGATCAACCCGCACATTCTTTTTTCTTTTATTCATTCATAACATTATCCATCTGAAAGCTGCCCTGCGTTTTCCAGTCACAGCCTCTTCATGATGAACACGCTTTCATTCACTACCACCTTCCTTCTTTTTTTATGGACCTTGATGGTTCATGCTCAACAAGCACGTGAGTAGCCTGCTATCCTTGTAACGACACCATCCATACCAGACAATGAATGTTGCCCATGCTGACTTTTTTGTATGTATCGTAGCTGGTAACACTGGTTGTACAGAATACACAGGTTCAATTTGCTCGGTAAGCATGAATCTTCACATCGCCTCAAACATGAGCTTACCATCATCGCCTTCATTGAACATAGAAATATGTGGATTATTCGGTCTATACCGCTGGCATGGATATCAACATGATTGAACAACAACTCAGCAACCTCCAAACACTTAATGCAACTCTCGGCGAAATCGATCCCACTTGCGTTGACAACTACTTTCGCTACGCATGCTCGTTTTATTACCCCAAATGTGGAGAGTCTACAGCTGAACGCAAGTACAAATGATAGCTGTTATCATGATGTAGACGTGTTACTTACATCACCCATAGAGCAAGAAGTGTGGATGGGATGCACAACGTCTTGTCTTGAAGTCAACGAAACATGTAGCAACATTTTCACCTTGACAGGACAAATGTCACTTATTCCCGATTGCAATGCAAAATCGCCTATCACTGATTCGACTCTTCAACCTGATCAAAGTTGTAATTATCTCAACTCTACAGGTAAGCAAGCAAGCATTTTGGCAACAATGCCATTGCGCGGACAATAGAGTCCCAATGTAAAATGATGTATGAACAACAACTCCTTTTCTGACTTGGTTCTCTTCTATAGTCACCAAGGACCAAGCGGGTCTTCACCTTGCTGCTGTGCCACCTGGCTTTGTGCTCGCCGAATGTCCCTCCCCTTTCATCCGCGACCCAAAGGCTAAAAACGGCACCACCGATACGGAAAATGCGGCCTTTTGCCGATTTGGATGCTGCATGCCATGTCCAGCTCAAGATCTGGTAAATCGATTGTACAACATGAAAACGCGTCGTTCATCCATCTCATTTTATTTTTGATATCAGTTCTTTAATGAAGGTTGGACCAAGCATGGTTTCCTCGCAACCAATGTTGTTCGTTTTGTATCAGCAGTCGCGTCATTCGTTATTTTGGTCAGCTATTTAGTACTTCCCGACAAAAGGAGGTGGGTATAAAAAAAGGAGGGCGTTAACAGGAATGGCAAGTTGTTGCTGACAAGAGAATGCTAGACATCCTTCGCTGCTGATTTTGAACTTTGCATTGGCCATCTTTTTGTTCAGCATGGTGGTCTTTTTTTCGATTGGTGATACGAAACGATTGCAATGTTCAGGAGATATCAATCCTGCCGATATGGACAATAATGCCTTGTGCGGTGCACAGGGTGCTATTTTGATCTTTTCCTCCTTGGCAACGGTATTATGGTGTGCTGCATTGATCATCAACCTCCATATGCACACCGTATGGAACTCGAGCTTTTTTGCAAACAAGTACATTTTCTTGCACGTGTTTTGTTGGGGTGTGCCTGCCGCATTTATGGCAGCCGCTTTGGGTTTGCATGCTGTCAAGTTCGAATTTGCCAACCTGTGCCTGGTCTCCATCGATTACATCTTTGATCTCTTCTTTTATCCAATGGCAGCCATCATTGCACCAGCCTTTTTGCTTCATATTTTGACGTTCTTTTACATTGCCAGGGTAAGTGGAATCGATGGGGTTAACCTATATATACATACACATAACATAAATTGGCTGACATCCAACTTTATCATCAGGTGGCTATGAAGGAGAGCGCACAATCCGAGGCATCACAATCGCACTCTGCCAATTCTTTTGCCAGCAGAAACCAGCTCGCTGCAAGGAAGCACAAACACGTCATACAAGCTGTCAAGATCCAATGGCGTGCATTGCTATTGGCTATTGTAGCTTTGGTCACTGTACTCTTTTACTGGGTATGTATAAATTACATCATTGCAATAGGGAAGGAAGGGAGCCTAATCATCTCATCATGCATGTGTGGATGCTTTTAGATCTTTTACTTTACCCAAGTCAACAGGCTATCTACCTTGGAAACGGATAATGAAACGATCCTAACATGGCTCGAATGTATGCTTGATCCTGACAACACCCAAGACAATTGTACGCACGTCGTGAGCAACCATCTCCCACCCTTTGGATTGATGATTACTGCCGAGACTCTCGTTGGCCTTGTTGGTTTATGGTTGTTTTTGATCTTTGGCAAACGATCCATTTGGCGAGAATGGAATGATTGGATTTATGACATGCGTGTCCGTGGTCGCATGGATAAGAATGGCGAGCAATTTTTTGCATTGTGATCATTATCTCCACTATTCCCCTTATTCATCTCTCTCTTTTCTATACATTACATTACTCATTAATCCAACTTGTTCATTTGTGTATTTATCCCCATCCAACAACCACTTTTATGACAAATAGATTTTGTTCATCCACTACTCTAATTATGTGTGATCGTCAGGAACCATCATTGAGACTCCATAAGGCAATCCCCGCGCCCCCAAAAAGCCACCTCATTGTTCATTCCTAGTTGTGTGTTTCTATATTTGACATGTCCCAAGACGACGATGGCTTCACTACGATTGAATCCAAATTCAAGTACATGTCCCTCTCAGGCAACAAGAACAAGCGAAAAAAGAAGCGTGGCCATGTCTTTCAGGATCCCGATCACTATACATTGGCAGATTTGAAGAGTGTGCTTTCGAAACGGCGGTATGTAGACTCCCTGTTGCTTATCCTCAAGCATAATCTAATAGCCGATATCATTAGAGAAACATTGACCGAGAGTCGATTCTATAAAGAGTTGTTAGGTAAGTGTATCATTGCAACAAAAGGGGTCCACGTGATATGCCAACCTTGATTTCTTATCTGGCTTAGACACCTTTCATGCAAGTCTGATACCGACTCGTCCGCACGACATGGTATGCTATGGTATTGGCTCCATCCAACATTCAAAGAATGCACAATTCCAATTTGTACTGGCGCTACTCATCCGTGATTTACTCAAAGTAAGTGAATCACCTTGCCAACCACGCCGTTGTCTCATCATCATCATCATCATCCACGTCAAAAGATCCCTGGTCAAGTGAGCATCTTTGATCCCGTAATGACTGATCTCGATAAGGAGTTATGCAAGGAACACGATATATACGTTATCGACACAAACGAGGTAAATGCTGGATCATGTTCTACTTGTGAAATGGTTGCTTAATGTTATGTATGAAGGATGGAAAGCGTGGTGTACAAAAGCCAACTTTATTCTACATGCCGCATTGTGGACGTGGTCTCTATAGCAACACATTGAGCGCCAACTGGAACAAGGATAAGCTAGGCAATGTTATCATCATTGGGAACCGGTTTGACATGTATGTTGGAAGGTAAGCAATGAACATTGGAATAGCAAAGGAAACATCCATCATTAACGGGGAATACAGCCAACTAGAAAGAGATCTTAAGCGTGAATGCCCATTCTTGATACCTGCTGTGGATATTGTCGATTGCGTTACGTTTCCAAAGGAGTTTGATGACAACAAGGTGTTCAATGACCTCTCGATTCAGACATTTCCTCGGCAAAAGTTGGATGAGACTACTAGAAAGTTTTGGGATGATGTATCTATAGAAAGTGTACCACAAGATAAAGACGTGTTATAGATTCAACCTTCATGTTGCTACGGATACCACCTTTCAAGGGTATACCTTGGGGTATTCAGTGATGGTGGTGGTTTTAAGTTGATGGCTCATTGGATAGAGGTATCTCCAAACTCACACATAGCATGATTGATCGCCTATGGTTACGATCGGGATCATCCAATAAGAAGTTTATCTAACAGAAACAATTTTGCAGTTTGCGGTCTTTCTTTCTCTTTTTTTCATATACACATACATACATACATACATACATACACAATGGGAAGATCTCGTATGCAACGGTTTGCCGAAGAAGGCAATGAGATTTCAGAGACGACCAGCAGCATTCCAATGCCTGTGGCCATGTGGGATTTCAAACATTGCGATCCGAAGCGTTGCTCTGGAGTCAAGTTGGCGAGGACGGGTATGCTCAAGACACTAAAGTTGAACCAACGCTTTCGAGGCATTGTTGCTAGTCCAGTGGGTGAAAAGGCTGTATCTCCTGCTGATCGACGTATTGTGGAGATGTATGGTGCATGCGTGGTGGATTGTTCTTGGGCACGTGTTGATGAGGTACCATTCAACAAGATCAAGGGTCCTACCGATCGTTTATTGCCATATCTGGTTGCTACGAATCCTGTCAACTATGGTAAACCGTGGAAACTCAATTGTGCTGAAGCATTGGCTGCCATCTTTTATATCACGGGTTTTCCTGAACATGGTGCTGCATTGATGGGGAAGTTCAAGTGGGGACATGCATTTGAAGAAGTCAATGGTCCTTTATTGGAAAAGTACGCTGCGTGTGCGGATTCAACAGAGGTTGTACGTGTGCAAAATGAATATCTCAAAGAGCTGGAAGAAGAGGACGAAGAACGGAGGAAACAAGAGGATGACGATGATCCATTGTTATTTGAAAACACCAATCGACAATACGACATGCCTGAAGATGATTCCGAAGATGAGGACTCTGAAGAAGATGAAGACGACTCTGATGATAATGATGATCCACTCTTATTCCGCAATCCAAATCATCACCATGACGACAGCGAAGAAGAAGATTCATCGGTCGAAGAAATACAAGATAAACTAGGCAACACTATCATCCGCTGATCCACTTTTGCCCCATCCATGATCCCTTATTGATAGACACACACACACAAAAACACACACTATTTTGCATTAAATCAATCGATACCTTGTATTTGTTTCAATTACTGCTGTATATGATCACGTTGACACAAAAGCACCAGTTTTATTGTATACGACCTTAATAGGCTGCTTACAAAAGAGTCTCGTAAGGAACAGGGGCAATGGTCTGGGGCACGTTGTGCTTGGTGGAGACGTGACGAGCCTCGCGAGGTTGAGCTGGGAGACGCTTCAAGTTGACCTTGACTATTGTAGATCACAACAACAATAAGTTTTCCCCTGATCTATCCTTTCATCCATTCATCCACTTCAAGTACATACCACCAGTTTCCTTGGCAGCCTTCTTCTTTTGAGCGTTCTCCTTGACACGTTCCAAGAATTCTTGACGGCACTTGGAGTGCTTGACGTGTTCAATGCGGATGTTGACGCGCTTCTCCATGTAGCGGTTGCCGACACGCTTGTGAACAATGACACCGACAGCAGACTTGGTGACGTTGTAGACAACACCAGTGCGACTATAATGATAACAAACCCATTAGCCACCTATACAAATGATATAGTATAGTCGATCATCATCTTGTAACTTACCCGTGGTAGAACTTGTGGGGCATACCCTTTTGAACAGCAGCGTTGGCCTTAATGTCAACAATGTCGCCAACCTTGTAAGTCTTCAAGTAAGTAGACAAGGGAATGGCGCCATGCTCGCGGAACTTGCGAGAGAACATGTGGCGAGTACGAGCGCGGACTGTATAATAGAAACGTAACGAGAGTTGAGAGGTGTGATCGAGGGCATCAAGTGTTGTGTGTATAATAAAGTGTCGAGATGGTGTGCGAGTACTTACGACCGAAAGAGTGCGGCATGCTGGGAATCAACAAAGAGACATTCGTAAGCAAATGTAGTTTAAACGAGTTGACAGTGTCAATGGCAGTGGTTGCCTACCTGTCAAACTAAACGCTGCTTGGAGGGAACAGGGAAAGAGGAAGAATCACACTGTGGGCTTGGGCTTTCGCCTTAAGGCGTGAAAAATTTTTGTCTCTTCGTGACAGCGCATTTCATTGGCTGCTGAAATCTGTATAATAAAGGGCGACAATCCACGTGACCGAACTCTCCCCCTCCCACCACTGCCATCGCTTCTTCTCTTGTTCATCCTATGCTATTCATCATCGGGGACGTATGTTGATCTTTTTTCCTCCACACATGCAAGTGATTAGATTTTTATTCATTAGGTCCAAGCAGCTTAGCGCCTTTTTCATTGCATGCAATTAGATAGCGTTAGTCCTCACATCACTATACAGGAGGCGTACCTTTCGAGTATCTTCCCACTTTATATCAATAAAGCAACTACTGTATCAAACAAGCTCTAAAGTCTGTTGCGGCATACTGACAAGATCCAAAGATAAAAGGGGATGAGTTATAAATTAGATGCCTGCGCATTCGAGTACTATATCAGCAATGATAATCCAAGAATCGGATCATTGATATCAGCAATCAAAGGCGTTGTATCATTCTGTGCTCACAATATAGCACGTATTTTATTCGCAAGATGCCAATTCTACCACGTGCCTCCTAATGACAAGACGTTGATGGCTAAAGCGTATGCTAGCATCTATCTCTCGATTCACCTCTGTATCCCTTCACCATTGCCCTTATCAGTGTACCAAGAATGCATACGAATTGAGACGAGAAACCCGCCAAAACCCGGGGGATTGATTCCGATATTGATGCCGCATGACAGTCTGTGAAACGATACAGTTTATTGGAAGGTCCTGATATGTTCCAAAGAGCTTCTTCATTCTTGGGCGGGAAGAAGTACACATGTGCGGGTGTTTTTAATACACAAGTCGTGTCTCCTCATGTCAATGTTGCTTTCTCACCAAAGACGTCGTCACCGAATCAACTTCATGTGCGTGTTTCCATACCACGTCATTACCGATGTTGTTGCATTGCTTCCATTCAAGGATCGAATCAGGTGTACGCGTGTATGCAAAGCTTGGCGTTTACTGTTGCTTGGATGGCCTGGGATGTGGCACGATATCCAAGTGGGACCATTTGGACCTCATTATTCAATCATGGCGCGCTATTTCAAGTGGATGGATGGGCCCCATATCCGCAAGATCACTCTCAGGAACCAAAGCAAGCACGATACAGAACAACTCTTTCTACTATTGATTGAATGCAATTATCATCATCCTATTCAAGTACTTTGTATGTATGACTATGGTTGGATTGATAGAAGAAGATGAATTAATTCATCATGCTATTATGTAGGTCTCCATGATTGCGATATTCCACTCGATTGCTTTGTGCAGCTGTTACACAGGGTGGGCCGCTCTCTTGTGTCACTCGTCTTATCAGGAACCAACTTGACGTTGGCCATGGTGCTTTACTTGCTTCGAATGTGTCCTGATCTTGAATTATTTCAATATCAAGTGGGGAATCGATACGCAGCACCGCCTATTCCTGTGGAATTGGACGATCGTGCATTATCGGACATGCTGCCTAAGTTAAGACGACTTGTGCTCTCCAATGGTGGCGTACAACCTCCTCTACAAATGTTGTTACGACATTGTCCAAGCTCACTGGAATTGCTATGGCTCGACCCAGATGACTATCAACATGATCGCAGTTGGCCAATTCATTTATTGGAGACACTTGATGTTGGCACGTTCTACTATACGTCTACAGCTACAACTAGCATCTCCTACAAGTGCCATCCATACGGTGTCCACGGGATGTATCAAGAGGATGATCATGACGCTGCTGCTATCAATGAAAGCTTGCTGGCTATTGAAGACCATGTACATAATCTACGTTGTCGCATGATCCCCGGGATGGTGATCCAAAGCCGTGGTTGGTTGAACGATAGAATACTATCGCCATTATTGAACAAGAAGCGAGATCGGCCGACACAAGTCTTAGCGCTTGGACAATGTCCACAAGTAACGAGTGAGAGCTTATGCAAGTTATTGGTTGCTCATATGCCGGCATCATTGACGTATTTGGAATTGGATAAAGCTGACAAGGTCAAAGCGATCCATCTCATTGCGCTTATCAAGCAATCATCCTCATTGTTACATACAGTGCGCTTACGAAGAATGAAGAGTGTGACAAATGGTGTCGTCGATGCTCTTAGTGATGCGTCTCGGCTTGAACATGTGGATTTATCTTATTGCAATTCTATCACGGATGATGCATTGAAGCGATTTATCGACAAACAAGGGAATAGACTCAAGACGCTCGACACGGTGGGGTGCAAAGCCATTACTTTTGATGCAGTGAATTATTGTTGGCTCAGGATGGGATTTGGATTTGGATAGCGTTGTATATCATGCGGCCTTGTCGACCTCTTTTTCTCCCCTTCTCACCCTCTTTTCTCCATTTCACCCCGTCAATATGGAACAAGATCAATACCAACAAATCGCAAAGTAAGCCATTCACTTGTCCTCAGTAAAAGAGAATATCAACATGGTGTGGTGCTTCAATCAATAGTGAAATGCTAGCATTCCAACATGCCAAGTTACATCTTTTTGATCTGGCAGACGAGTATCAGAGGAAGACAACACTATCGTCAGGCAACGACAGCAACGTGACAGCCTATCATCCAGACGCTGTAGCTCGAGAGTTAAAGGATTACAAGGTGTGCTTGGGTGAAGGTGGATATGGTAAAATGGTCCTTTTGACACGTGTTTTATGGCATAGAACTATACGCCCCAGTTGGAAGAACGTTTCAAAGAAATCGAGAACCAGGATCGATTCATACGAATGATGACACAAGATCCACCAGTCGAAGTAACAGAAGAGATGCTTCGATCATCAGGTATAAAAAACATGTGGTTTCATTGTTACGAGAAGCATTGACGAAGGAGCTTTAGAGGACAATGAGCAGAAATTGTTGGACAAAGTACAAAAGAACATGCAACTACTGGCACAAAAGCAAATGGTCTTCCAGCAAAAGTGTGAACGGATACAACAATGTAAGTGCAAATGCTTCGTGGCGATTCAATGGCTTATTAGTAAAGATAGTGCATACACGTCTTCAGCATGAAACGGAGCGTATAACACAGCTAGTGGATGACAATCGAGCTACTGCAAGTATCTTCTCAAATATAAAGGGGAGCAAGTTAATTGATCCAGGAATCTATTTCTAGCAACGAGAATTATCAAGGATCGAGAAAGGACTCAAACTCCACATGACATACGAGGAGCAGATTGCTGAAAGGGATCGACTCGTCGAAGAGCTTGTGCAAGATAATATGATCATTGATGAGAAGCGTGAAAATGTCAGTCGCATCAAAAAGATTGTCCGAGAGCGTGCAAAGGAGGTACAGGATCGTGAGTCGAGGTTACAGTCCTTGCAGCAAACAGCATCACGAGAAGAGGAGCAGCATATCGGACCTGACCCTGCTGTAGAGGAGGCCACTGAATGGTACAAGAAAGTCACCAAGGATACCAATGCGTTATTCGGCATCCAAGACATCAATGAAACGCCCACAACAATCAAAGTATCTTTTGACAATGAAGCACAAGATGAATTACGTATACAATTTGATCCCGTGTCCGAGGAGCTGATAGATGTGGAGGTAAGATACAATGATGTGTATTATAGCCAAGACAACTAAGCACCATCCCTTTCTTAGTCCTCTGGATGCGATGTACAAGATATCCTTCCCTTAGTTAGCAGCCTTCATGATCGATACGAGATATCCACAGTCCTTATACGATACACGTTAGAGAAGCTGTATTCAAGAGAATAAAATCATCATGGGAAAAAAAGACAAGTTGCATTGTATTCTTTTGAAAGATCGTGTGTGGTACAAGGGATGATAGCTTAACATTATTTAAACGAGATCGGTGACTATAAGTAGCATTATTAGTATATCGCCATACCATCATCACCACGTTTTATCGCTTACCATTCATGGGCATTTCATCGATCTGTGTGCTGTAATATTGTTCAATGTCGCGCAAGATCTTGAGATCATCGTTCTTGACAAAGTTAATGGCAACACCCTTACGACCGAAACGACCAGAGCGACCAATACGATGGATATACAATTCACGGTTTGAAGGCAGATCATAGCTATTTTCATTGATCGTGATTAGCACACTTTGTATCCCATTACACCTATTCCAACAGCTTACTTGATGACAAGAGAGACTTGTTGCACATCAATACCACGTGCCCATACATCAGTAGTGATCAATACTCGGCTACAATGAATTCGTTAATCACATGATCGTTCCTTGTTGAAATTCATGCATCCTTACCTAGCACCTTGTCTAAACTCTTGCATAATTGCATCACGCTCCTTTTGTGGCATTTCACCGTGCATAGCAGAAACTGTAAAGTTGGATTCACGCATCTTTTCTGTAAGCCAGTCGACCTAAATGAAAAAGGTTGCTCATTAGCTTGGTCCCATTCACTCTTTGATCCTTTTCCAAAAGTACCTTGCGACGTGTGTTGCAAAAGATGACGGCTTGTGTAATAGTGAGAGTATCGTATAAATCACAGAGCGTATCAAACTTCCACTCTTCACGCTCAACGGCGACAAAGAATTGCTTGATGCCTTCCAAAGTCAATTCATCACGCTTGACAAGGATGCGGATGGGGTCCGTCATGAAGTTGCGGGTCATTTCGAGAACATCGTGTGGCAAAGTAGCTGACAGCAAGACAACTTGAGTGGCAGGTGGTAAATAACGGTAGACATCATAGATTTGATCCTTGAAACCACGGTTGAGCAATTCATCAGCTTCGTCGAGAATCAAAAGCTTGATGTTGCGAGTGCGCAAGTTGCGTCGTCGAATCATATCAAATACACGGCCAGGCGTACCAGATACGACATGCACACCATGATCCAATCGTCGAATGTCCTCACCCACGCTAGTACCACCAATACAAGCATGGCACTGTACGTTCATATAATCACCCAACGCCAAAATCACACTCTGGATCTGCGTCGCCAATTCACGTGTTGGTGAAAGCACAAGGACTTGAGTCTCTCGAACAGAGGTATCGATAATTTGCAGTGACGAGATACCAAGCGTAGCTGTCTTGCCGGTACCGGATTGAGCTTGAGCAATCACATCGCGACCACGGATAATGGGTACAATAGCTAACAAGGTTCACTGCACTTAATGCTACCAGCCAATCTCATTGAGTCCTTCTCTTCACCTACCTCGCTGCTGGATGGCTGATGGCTTTTCAAAGTTGTAAGCGTAAATACCGCGGAGCAGATCTTCCTTGAGACCAATGGAATCAAACGTAGGGACCACCTTGACCTGTTCATGGATACGATAAGCTTATTAGACCGTGATCATACAACATACGCCATTGCGATATTACATTCTCGGATGTCTCAAAGTTGAGCTTTTCGTCTGCTTGCGGATCGTAGGCCATGATTGTGAAAAGAGGGGGGGATAGAGACAAGAAGGAAAGAGACAATCAAGACCGACACCGCTTCAAAGTCGTCACGAGTAAATTTGGATGTGAGACAACCTTGATGTGCCCATTGCCTTATGCCACGCTTAGAGATCATAGCCCTTAGATATTGAACCTATTCCCTTACATCGATTCATTGATAAACATAACATGCTTGGAAGTGCATGTGATTTCACTTTTAAACAATCAACATAGTAGATTATACATAGAGAGGATATAGAAAGAAAGAATAAGGGATATACATCTAAATGATCAAATGTCTAGAGCTTGGCCTTGACCTTGGCAGCTGCTTCTTGCTTGACCTCTTCACGTAAGATCTTTCGCAAAATCTTGCCTGTAGGGCTCTTTGGGATTTCAGGACGGAACACAAGGGATTTGATTTGCTTGTACGAGATCACCTGTTCAGCAATAAAGGTCTTGATAGCATTGGCAGTCTTATCATCTTGCTCCACACCAGGCTTAACAACCACATAAGCACGAGGAATTTCAGTTGCCTGCTCTTCGTCATATACACCAATTACAGCAGCATCGGCCACAAGTGGATTCTTAAGCTATATTAACAATGTCGCCGGTTAGCTTATTTTACACAATAGGTGTTATTCAACTTACCAGCAATGCTTCCAATTCAGCAGGTGCTACTTGGAAGCCCTTGTATTTGATAAGCTCCTTAATGCGGTCTACAATGAAAATGTTGCCATCTTTGTCAATAACAGCCACATCACCGGTGTGGAAATAGCCATCAGCATCAATGGATCGGGCGGTTTCTTCAGGGCGGTTGATATAGCCCTACTCCTTTCTTGTTAGCAACCAAGGATCATGCATAGGATTAATGTATTCATTACTACCTTCATAATCTGGCGGCCTTTAATCCAAAGTTCGCCTCGTTCACCAATACCCCTTTCTATCAATCACTTCTTGTCAGCATGATTCTCGTCTTAAAAAGCGAAAACCTACTCACCGTTGCCATCCTCATCGACAACCTTGGCAAGTGTATCGGGTGCCAAGATACCAGTAGCACCTGAAAAAGATAATCAATATGACATCTACATACGTTAATCCGAAAGACAATTCCTCTTACCATCCACAATTTGATAATCAGGCTGCATCGACGTAAGTGGTGACGTTTCGGTAAGTCCGTATCCTTGCTTGATACGTATTTGTGGCAAACGACGAATAACGGCACGCGTGAGATCGGCATCCAATGGTGCAGCACCCACAACAATACTGAGAAGAGAGCTTAAATCGTATTTGGGTACTTCGGGTGACTTGGCAAGTAGTAGCAACATAGGTGGTACACAGCACGCGAATGTGATTTTCTGCTTTTGAATGGTGTTGCAAAATCCGACGAGATCAAAGCGTGGCAACAAGTACACTGGAGTACGAGTATAGAAAGGTACATGGAGAATCAAGTTAAGGGCGAACATATGGAAGCATGGCAAGACACCAAGATGGCGATTTTGAGGTGTATAGTACTTGCTTTCCATTTGGAGGAATTGTTTGATATTGGCAACGATGTTGTCATGGCTACAAGAAGCAAAATCCGATATCCTGTCAACACATGCACATCCATACCCCGCATTAACTTACGAAGTCATAACACCTTTGCTCTTGCCTATACATGGTTAACTGTGAGTCGGGTATAGAAAGAGGGATGTATTGTTGCTTATATAATTCTTACCTGTGGTTCCCGAAGAAAAGCACAAGTAAGCCAAATCATCTGCATTTCGAGGCATTGGCTCCGCCTTGCGTTTCCCGAGAAGTACCCGATTATATGGATGCACGTCGCCGACTGATTGATCCCCAAACACCAAAAAGTGCCGCACGGATGGTACCTGCTTTGCAGCTGCAATGGCAATTTTGAGATTCGATGGGTGCGCAACAACCACCTTGGCTTGTGTTTCCAAAAGCTGATGCGCCAATTCATCCACGGTATAATTGGGATTGGCAGGGCTTGCCACACCGCCTACAACATAATGACAATAATGCATGCATTAGCTCACTCATCCTTTATTTTTCACACACGCACGCACACACCCTCTTTTTACCCCTCCCCCTTACCTGCAACAAGGGTGCCAAACAATACCACAGCATAGTCAATCTACAATGATGATAGTGGGACAATCAAGATCAGCCCATGCCCTGTAGCACAGCTATTGTGTTATCAACCATACCGTGTTGGGAGCATAGATAGCAAGTACGTCATCTTTTTGGAATCCAAATACATCTTGGAGACCAGCACCAAATTCAAGAGACATGTCTCGAACCTCCTTGAAAGTGAGCGACTTATTGGTTACAGCATCAATGTAGCAAGGAAGATCAAGGTTGTCATTGCTGTCCTTTTGACGAAAGAGTGTTTGGACAATACCCTCCTTGTATGGGGGAATGGAAGGAAGTTTTGAGGAAAAGACGGGCATGAATAAGGTACAAAAGCTGGTGAAAGGAGAGAAAAAAGAATCTACGAATGCACCTTTTGTCATGTAGCTGTATACCTTGCGTCACGTTGCACAAGGTGATTGACCTTTCACATTACCCCGTGACGCGCTCTAATACAATGATGTGGATGAGCCATGCTAAACATTGGACAACAATGGTGAGTACACACACGCTGGATCATCACACGTAAATGATCGTTGCTATGACTTCGATGTTTTGGGACCCTGTAAGATGATGTTAAAGAACACACTTCTCAACGTGTGTAGCAGTAATCCTGTTGTCAAACCCGCCCGTCCTACACGAATTCTTGTATAAACCAGAAGACCGCGTAGCTGATGCTCATCATTGGCTGGCTTTACTTTCACAATCCCAACCTTCTTTTTGGCTGTGCGCTTTCTAATGCAGATACCCATACCCCACAGTGTAACTGATTTATGCATGCTAGTAATAATTTCAATCATACATTATATCAACATGTGCACAATAATAAGGAAGCTAAGTCATGCGATAATGTTACAAAGATGTGGCTGATAGTTGTGTATATTATAGGTCTATCACTTTTTTGAGTTGTATATCCGCAACAGCACGCTTGGCAGGCTGAAGCAGAAGGAGAAAGGTAGGAAACATTGCACATGGTGGTTGATGAAGAATTATAGCTTGGCACGGGTAGCTTTGGCAGCCATTTCTTGTTTGACCTCCTCCTTTAGGATCTTGCGTAGAATCTTGCCTGTAGCGCTCTTTGGGATTTCATCACGGAATATCACAGACTTGATTTGTTTGAAATGAGCCACTTGCTTGGCAACAAAAGCCTGCAATGATTCGGCAGTCTCGTTATTGGGCTCGATACCAGGTCTCAACACAATGTATGCACGAGGAATCTCGGTGACTTCCTCCTCGTTGTACACACCAATGACAGCACAATCGGCTACTTGTGGATGTTTCAGCTATCACCAAAAAGAAGCTGCATTAGCGGGATAGCAAACTTAAAATAATCAACATCCTGATTACTCACAAGCAATCCTTCCAATTCAGCAGGAGCAACCTGGAAACCTTTATACTTGATCAACTCCTTCAAACGATCGACAATGAACACGTTGCCATCCTTATCGATAATAGCCACATCACCGGTATGGAAGTAGCCATCACTATCGACACATTTGGTAGTCTCCTCAGGGCGATTGAGATATCCCTTTATAAAGCATCTCGTATTAATGGATGACCTTAACAATATCAATGGATGAAACATACCTTCATGATATGGCGCCCTTTCGACCAAAGCTCGCCACGTTCACCAACACCCAATTCTGAAATCCTCAACTTAGAACCTTGATTACCCAATACGCTTATAATACTAGTAACTTACCTTTTCCATCCTCATCCACAATCTTGTTATAGCTGTCAGGAACCAAGATACCAGAAGAACCTATAAAGTAGGAATCCACACGTTCAATATACATACCTTTCATCACCCTTTATCCCATCTTACCTGGTACAATTTGATAATCGGGCTGCATGCAAATGACTGGAGAGGTTTCTGTAAGCCCATATCCTTGCTTGATGAATAATTTTGGGAAGCGTTGGAGTACAGCATTCATGAGCTCTACTGATAAGGGCGCTGCACCTGACATGACGGCACGTAAGCTACTGAGATCGTATTTCTGTACATCAGGGTTCTTGGCCAACAACACGAGGACTGGTGGCACCACACATCCAAATGTGATCTTGTATTTTTGAATTGTGTTCAAAAAGTTGACCAAATCAAAACGTGGCAAGACATGCATTGGTGTTCTCGTATAAAACGGTGAATGTAGAATGACTGTCAATGCATAGATATGGAAAAATGGCAGGATAGCGATTTGTCGATGTTCAGGCGTAAAATAAGTCTTCTCGACACTTAGGAACATGCGTACGTTGGCGATAATGTTGTCATGGCTGTGGGACCAGGGAAGTAGGATGAGTAATCGAAATTGTGAAAGCGTGGGCATACATGCTTAATAACCTACGTTGTCATAACGCCCTTGCTCTTGCCTAATATTGTTTTCCCGAGCTTTTTAGTACACACTAATTGCATGTGCGTTGCTATGTCGCCGATCCAATCCCTTTACCTGTAGTCCCTGAAGAGAAGCACAAATAGGCCAAATCATCGGCTTTCCTTGATACGGGTTCAGCAAGGCGAGTTCCCAATAAAGCTTGAGTATAAGGCTGGACACCATCAATGGCATGTTCACCAAACACAAAGATGTGTTGTACTGTGCCAACTTCCTTGGCTGCTGCAACAGCGTTTTTAAAAGCCGATGAATGAACCACCATGACCTTTGCTTGCGTCTCTCGTAGTTGATGTGCAATTTCACCCGATGTGTAATTGGGATTAGCAGGGCTGACTGCTCCTCCTATAATGATTGTTGTACAAAATCATCAGCATATGATTATCCAGAAATTTCCTTTCTGCTCACCAGCAACCAATGTGCCAAACAAGATCACCGCATAATCAATCTAGGCGAGAGAGAAAAAGAAAGTCAGCATTACGATCGTCCAATGAAAAACAAAGCACGCAACAAAGAGAATGGATGGTTGAATTTACGTACCACATTGGGTGCAATGACAGCAAGCACATCACCCTCTTGGAAGCCGAGCACATCTTGTAAACCAGCACCGAATCGAAGAGACATATCTCGTACTTGGGCAAATGTAAGCGTCTTGCCGGTCAAGGCATCGATGTAGCAGGGTCGATTAAAGTCATCGTTGGCATCACGTTGTTTGAAAAGCGTTTGAACAATGCCCTCCTTAAAGGGAGGAAGAGATGGAAGCGTGGATGTGAATATTGTCATGTTAACAAAAGGTGGTGAGAAATGATCCAGATGGATTACCTTTTTATACCAAACGCTGATCATTCCTCCTCTCCCCCGCAAACGGACATTTCGTGGGAACTGCCTTATCAATGCGATAAGATGGGAAAGCCTCTCATCTAAGCCGGTATAGCACATTCAAAGCATGGTTGCTGCACATTCCATTCCAAATGCATGGCCCTGTATGAAGCTCTTTTGTACGTGAATCTCGTATACATACTTCACAACAACCTCTTTCCTTGGTACCTGTTTGTTTATTTCACATGTTTTCTTCTCTGCCTTGGAAGTTCAGCTGATGCATCCTGAATCAAGCAAATCTTGTGCATGTACAAAGGGCTCGTGACCTCTTCCCCTTATTCTTTGCGATCTAAAAAGGAAGGAAATGTCAAATCCAAAGATGCACTTTGTGTCCCAAGAGATAGTTCGTACCATCATAAAGTATGCCAAATAGTGGATTTCATAGGATAATGAATCTTCACCACTCAAACTCATAACACAGGAACACAAAAGTAGAACGTGTAGTCTATGTGTTGTTTATTATCCAATCTGCTACTCTTACAATTTGGCGCGTGCACCTTCTTGCTCTTGTTCCTCTTTGACCCATTTCTTTACTTCCCGTCGTAAGATCTTTCCACTTGGGCTCTTGGGAATAGCATCCACAAACCGAACACCACCACGTAAGCGCTTGTATTGGGTAACATTGCTTGCTACATATTCCATCAGCTCCTTAGCCTTGGCAGGACTTGGCTTTGCATGGGGTTGAAGGACAATATAAGCTCTTGGAAGCTCTGTAGCCTGTGCCGCTTCATATACGCCCACCACACAGCTGTCGGCTACATCGTTGTGCTTGATCAATAGAGCTTCAAGTTCTATGTACATCCACATAAGCATATAGATTCACAACCTACACACACCTTTCCCAACAAAAAGTTCCTCCCTTACCTGCTGGTGCTACTTGGAAACCTTTGTACTTGACCAATTCCTTGATACGATCCACAATGTAAAACTCGCCTGTCTTCGTATCAAACTTGCCAACATCGCCTGTGCGCATCCATCCATCGGCTGTAAATGTCTTGGCGTTGGCTTCTGGATTGTTGAGGTATCCCTTCATGATAACGGGACCACGTAAAAGCACCTCGCCTTCTTGATCATCTCCCAATTCTACGTTCAAGCAATACCATGTTAGACCCTTGAACAATCCTTACTCCATCAAAAACATACCATTGCCATTTTCATCAACCAACATCAATTCAGTGTTTGCAGTGAGGTAACCAATCGATCCAGCAGGGCTGACTCCCACACGTTGATAAACACATCCAGCACAAGTTTCACTCGATCCGTACCTGAAACAAAAGAAACGTGAGTTACCCAAATGCTTGCATTGAATCCGATGTATGTAATTTTTTACCCTTGCTTGATCGCAGCTGGGATACGAGCTTGTACTGCTTCGACATGTTCCTTTCCCAAGGGAGCTGCACCACATCCCAAGATACGTAATGAAGTCAAATCGTACTTTGATAAAACGGGGCTTTTGGCCAACTGCACAGCTGCATGAAAGAAAAGGTTACATGAGTCCTCGGGTCATTTTTCATCCACCATGTGTTCTTACCAATGGGAGGCACGATATTAACGTTGGTCACCTTGTACTTTTCAACCAGCTGACAAAACTGCTCGATATTCCATTTTTGCAGGATGACAATAGGATTGGCACGATAAAAGGCTCCAAAGATAAGCGACGTGATACCAAAGATATGGTAGAAGGGCAAGAAGCCGAGAATGACATCGGAAGCAATGTTGGCGTTCTGGTCGAAGCTGGTGACTTGAATCATTTGAGCAATAAAGTTGTGGTGGGTGAGCATGACGCCTTTGGGAAGACCTGTTGTTCCACTTGAGAAGCAAATGAAAGCAAGGTCGTCTTTGCCATTGAGACCATGGATAGGATGCCCGACATGGGGTTGGTTGATGCCAAGGTCGTAGAAGGATTTGTAACCGGAAGAGGAGTCGCCAAATACAAAAATGCGTTCCTTGGGGATGTTGTTCTTTGCACAAACACGTTCAAGTACAGGAAGAAGAGCAGGAATTGTAACCAATGCCTTGGCACCCGAAGTTGAAATTTGATGCTGGAATTCATCTACATGATATGCAACGTTTAGTTTGTCAATCTAATAAATGAGAGAGCATGATGACTTTGTGCTTTACCTTCTGTGTAATCAGGGTTACTGTAGATGCAATCACACGTATAGACATTATTATCAACATTCACTTGATCATCCCATCATCATCATCATCATCCTTACCCTGGTGAAATGGTGCACTTGGCTGCCAGCAGCGAATAGTATAGCACACAATGGTCATATTGATTGGGTGCGAACACAGCAACAACGTCGCCCTTGTTTAATCCCACTGTATTGTTCCATCCAGAAGCTATCCTGCCCGAGAGATCAAAGATTTGATTGAAAGACAATGTCTTGCCGGTCTTGCCATCAATGACAAAGGGCAAGTTACGATCACGTTGTGTGTTAAAAGGACTATCTTGAAAGAGAAACGTATAAAGATCGAGGTTGGGAATAGGAATAGGGTCGCACTGGGATTTGTAGATAACCATGGTTTGATTGTATGAAGAAGAGGAACAAAGAGAAAGGTTCGATGTCAGCTTTTCATATCAGGTACGAGAAAGATGAGCGGCGAATAACTGGTTAGTCATGCATGGTTAAGGGAACATCTTTTTCCCCCACTTTTGTCAAGGCACACAATAATGGGAAAGCGTTTTTCTTTGTTCTCAATACGTAACACACACATACCGCACTGTTGGTTGTTGTGGGGAAACGAATGTCATAGCTTTGTCCATAACGTGAGCAGCTTTCCTCTTATCCAATAAATTTTCATCCCGCATCATCTCCGCATCTGATCAACCCCACAGCACTCTCACGGTTGTCTTATTACATTTCCCGAGTATTCGTCTAGTCGCTTGTAGCACCCATTGATTCCCAATCATATCACTCCCAACATGGATGTTAAAAAAAGGGTTTCAATTTCAATTGAATGACTAGACAAAAACTTTATTCTCAAGGAGAGAGCGAGGCTGTGTTGTGTATGATGCGAAAGGGTCGAGACTCTTCAACAATTGAAGATCGAACCTGCCAAGAGAACAGGAGGGAGAGAGAGTAAAATAAAGATGAAGAGACAAAAGGTATAGCATTCTACTACATCAAGCAGCATATGATAATGTGTATGTTGATGAATCGCGATTATCTGGTATAGGTATGCTATCTATATGAATACACAAAAAAAGAAATGATGATGGTATGAATGACGAAAAGGCGTTCTGGTTGATTATACGGGGGAAGCAGTAGGGGTTGCATGGGCGACAGCAGGGGTGGATACTATCATTGGCATCATGACCATGGATCGCTGCTGTTGCTGTTGCTGTTGTTGTTGTTGCTGCTGGTGTCGTAGTTGAGGTTTCTTTTGGATAGGCCTTAACATGGATGGAGAAGACGATGATGTCTGTGTTGTGGTAGCTGCTGTTGATGGCAAATGTTGATGAATTTTAAGATGGCGACGCATATTGCTTTGTACACTGAATCTACGACCACATCCAGGCTCTGGGCAATCAAAAGGCTTTTCTCCCGTATGCGAATAAATATGAATACGAAGCGAGGAGGGTCTTGAAAATCCTTTATGGCAATGTGGGCATTTGTATCTTTCAGCAGCAGATGGATGACTTGTTGATGTTGGTGACGATGGGCTGCTACTCCTGAGTCGTTGTTGATGCTGCTCTTCTTCGATTTGCTTGGGATGCATCATATCTTTGGCAGCAGTTGGTGTTGAAATAGCACGACGATGTTGTTGTTGTTGCTGTTGCTGTGCTGTTGAAGAAGGACGATGGATTGTCAATGGTGGTAAATAAGGAAAAGAACAAGAGCGTGCATGTCGGCTAATGGGTCGTCGTGGATGTTGATAAGGAATCTCGCCGAGAACACACTTGAGCGAAGGAAGTTGTGGTTTTTCCATTGTGTTGTTGTTGTTGTATTGTTGAATGACAATAAAAGAGAGGGATAGTAAGTTGGCTACCGATCCGATTTTCCTGTTGGGTTTATATATAAATGTTGATGATGGAAAATAGGAGAGACAGTTTTACCTTGCAGGTTGGAAAAAGCTGGTTTTGGATCAGCTGAGTAACCTATGTACGACTGCAAGCCGATCACGAAGATATGCCGATCGGTTCCATTTAGTCGAAAGCAAACGCCCCTGACTGCCAATTAATTAGGGATGGTCTGGCTGATGTGCACACGCCGATCACTGCCGATCCAACCATTTTACAATGCTCTTCATGCATGTGATTTGTATCCAGACACTTCACACCGACCCTTTATTTCTTTCTAAAACCTTCTTGAAAACCAAAAGGGGAAGTAATGGGCATGATGACTTTTGAGTATATGAAGGCGATATGTGTCAAAGGTGGTCGTACCGTTTTTATTGAATAGAAAAGTTCATCTTGTTTTCTCCAGAAGGTGTCTTGTGATCTGCAGGGTTTGCACTGGCCTCGTATACTACATTCATAATTAAAGCGATGCCGATCCTTTTTCCACTCCCGTCCTTACTAACCTGTTATGATTGGATCGCGTTTGATCTATCATCCCGCATATTTTTACTCCATAAGTTCCAAGATAGAACGACACATGTCCTAATCCACCTTTTCTTACCTCTGACCACTCGCCTTTGAATCCAATAAATCGTATGATGCTTGTATCATTTCCAAAATTATCGGGGAAGAAGAGCGTAATGTTGCGTACGTTGGTAAACTTGGTGATCCTATGTAACATGTCAAAAGAAAAATGTGTCAAAGTGCCATGGCTTTCAATGCGTTCCCTTTCTTCATAACCCTTTTCTCCCTTGACCCCCTTTTTCCCCTTGTTGTATCGAAGCTGTTGCGATGCGCCTTGTTCTTTTTTCATCATCTCCCATGCTCTCAATGTACTCCCACTCTAACCTTGTTGCGTATTCAACCACGTCATCGGATCCTTCCACGAGTTCCCACGTTTGTACAGGAGTATAGCTTTCCACAACGTCAAAGTCAACATCGTCTCGATTGATGAATCTATCAAATGGTTTCATGTCAGCTTTCCAATGATCGACCTTTTTCGACAATCCTTCTCCTTTTCCTCATATGTAAGGGATAGCCCACATCTCCTGGTTGTAACTTTCACCCGCCATATCAAATCTCCATGTCCTCTTTTTCTCTCCTTTCTTCTTACACTTTGACTGATGAAGGTGCAGCATCTGTTCGATCGGTTCGAAGACAAATGGATCGTAACTTGACAGTACCCGTGAACCTTGATGATGGATGAATCAATCATAAGAAAGAGTGAGTGGCGGTATGAATGCATGATCACCAATCCAAAACACTCACGGCACAAAAACAATCAATTGCTCATCAGCATCGCTTTCGAGAAACTATTGTGTATTTCATTAATAAGCTTATAAGGCTAGTATCAGAGATCATCCCTTCAAAGTATCCACGTGCCTTTGTATTATCCAGCCGTTCATTCCAAGGTTTAATAACAGCCTTTCCCATTCCAGGTTCAGCTTCATTCATGCAACGCACATTGTCACGGTCGATTCGAGAATATAATAAAAACTGGTCACCAGCACCTGGAAGGTCGTCGTGATCGTGATCGCAGTGTTCGTCGTGGCAGTGATGGCTCATGTGTACAGTACTTGTGTTTGAAAATAGGAAAGCTGGAGGAGGAACATGATCCAATTTTCAAGGTCCGGGATATGGATTCAAGCAGCTCGGGCTCGTGACGCAAATGCTGTTCTAGCACTATAGCATTGGATCTATCATACACACTACATAGTGAGAAGTAGCATTCCATTAATGAAAACCTGATGAAGATGGTGTTCATATCGATGTTTTGGGAATCATTGAATAGCATCCTCTAAAAGAGAGTATCATCCTCATTCGTGCTTTGTACTTTTTAATCTCCAGGTCTTCCACTCCCAGCTTCTTGCCTCTTACTTCCATTCTCAATTGGTGGCAAATTCAAGTACAACTACCATCCGCGAACGATTGTCCTGCTTCAGCCCTTCATGTCAATCCTACAACTACCTTGATCCAAAAGCCTCTGACTGAAGGGCAAGTCCATGGCGTGTACGCCCCACTGCAACACCCGCATTCCTTGACAACACACTTTCTCTTGTACAATCCTCTTCGACGACCAATGGTAACAGCATTTATTCTAGCAATTGCTATTAACGAGGTCTTTACTCCATTGTCTCCAACGGCGTTCTTTATTTGCAGCAACCTGCCATACAGCCTTCGTTGCCTGGATAGCAGACAACCGTTGCCAGGAAGCAGCTTTACTTACGTGCAGCAACATGCCTCAATGCATAAGAATCCCTACGGATGATGCCATATCAACCATCAACTACATCGCAATACAAGCAATCTTCTATGGAAAAATGGCCAAGCAAGTGATTGATCAACAACCGGATAGAACCAGGAAGCATATCGCCAGTGATTACGTGGCTCTTCTCAACCAAGATGGTGGACTTGAAGGGCATGCATTGATGGATGCAATCGATTGCAATGATGAAGATTCTGGAATGTTGCTTGGTTACTTTGGACGCCGTCAAGAGGAACGATGAATCGTTGTCACGTGGATACGACTGAGGATGATGATGATGGATGGGATGGAATTGACGAAAAGTGCTCTACAGCCATGGATGATATTGGATTACTCGAGTCAATGCATGCAGCAGCTATTTTGCAATCATGGATGGAGGATGTTTACTGCAGCAACCAAGAATACAATGACACATTCTTCCCTGTTACCTTTATGTGATCCATCCCTGTATCTTATTCAATCTCCAATGCTGTTCCTCTACCTATTTACTACATAAACTTCCACACTGCAGTGTGCTATTCTTCGACTTTGATTGAATGAGAATTGGATTCACTATATTATATAGAATGATATCGTATTATCAGCTTGTATGTGCTAGATAAGGATCACTTGCTTGATTCCTAGATTGAAGCAGCGAGATAGATTTTACGATCGGAAAGGGCGATCGGGTTATTTGGATCATCGCATGTAGCATTCGCTAAAGCTTCCCAGCTCATATGTTGATAGACCAAAAGCATTGGGAGCCCTCGGATGTTTGCAATGAAAAGAGAATAAATCCAAGAGTGATGATGCCCAACAATACTGCTTGTTACATAAAGCTTGGTTCATTGTAAGCTTATTGATTCATCATGTTCAAGCTTGAGCTGTAGCACAATATGGTGCGAGCACATGAACATGCCATTCTTACTTATGACAAACTTCAGCGTATGCTATCTTATACAATTTCATATGAGGGCAAACCTTTCCATACAGGCCACTATAATAGGTTGACCTTTACTATACGTAGGCCAGGGCAAAGGTCAATCATGCGTTCTCCACCAATGAAGATTAACCTAATCAGTGTGTTACACAAACACGCCCCTCTGCATCTTTGGCTCTATAGTCACCCAATGTCGCCACCAGCCAAAAAGTATTTTCGTTGTCGTCGTCGAAAAAATTTCAAGAGGTCGACCGGATCCAATTTGGCTGGTGGCGACATTGGGTGAATCTCGGATTGGCCACCTCGATCGTGAAACTGGTACACAAGATGCTGTTGACCCCGACGAGCAACTTTGTTCTCTTAAAGACCCCACGTTTGATTGTAAAGTTTAGAGATACAAGAGTCTTTATGTTTTACATATGCTGTAAGCGTGATGCTATATGAAAGGTGGTCTTTGTTCATTGTCGAGTGGCTAGACCCTGGCAGAGCAAAAGATGCAGAGGGACGTGTTTATGTAACATAGCTACCTTGCATGACTGGAAGGATTGATGGATGATACTGTATACATTATCAGTAACAGCTCATCATTGGCAGCTAATAGCCATTTCCTCACAATCGGCACTGCTGCCTATTTTACAACAATGGAACGTTGCACCTGCTCCAGACATTCATTTTCATGATTCAATCGTCTTGATCCGAGCCGATTTGACTGAGATACAGCCAAAGAGCGAGTACATCAATCCACACATATAGCACGCTCGATCTAGCTCAACTGATGTAACCTTGATTGAGCGTAGCTCAGTCAAATCGGCTCGGATCAAGGCAATTGAATCATGGAAATGAACGTCTGGAGTAGGAGAATCGTACACATGTCATAGAATCGACAACAGTGTCGATTGTGAGTAAATGGCTGCTAGCTCGCAATATATGGGCTATTGCCAACATTATACAGTATCATCCTTCCATCCTCCCAGTCATGCAAGGTAGCTATGTTACATAAACACGTCGCTCTGCATCTTTTGCTCTGCCAGGGTCTAGCTACTCGACAATGAACAAAGACCACCTTTCATATAGCATCACGCTTAAAGCATGATGAAAACATAAAGACGGCCATATCTCGAGAAGATTTTGCAATCAAGTGGGGGTCTTATTCACTTGAACAAAGTTGCTCGGCGTAACTGAAAGTATCTTGTGTGAAAGTAACTGTAAATGCATTTGGTGGATTAGCAATAAATGACTGGTGTAGTATTATCGGACAAGACAAGCGACCACGTTCCTCTTTGGTGCATCCTCGGTCGCTTTGCATAAGGAGCTATACGTGGGATACATATGGTTTCCATTTTTAAGTAAGTCAACGTGCTCATGGTCCATCTCTGTAAGCTGCTTGTATAAAGAGGATACTCAATTCCCCACATGAGGTTACAGCTACCCAAAAAACACACACACACCATAAAGATAAGGTTTTCATTATAATGAGCATGGCGGTATGCGATTACCAGCAATAGGTGATAACATCAATTTCCATATCATTTCCTCCCTATAGGCAACAAGGTGGAAGACATGAGGATTTATTCAAGGGGAAGCTAAAATACAAAGGTTCTCAAGTGGGTCATTGTTCTTTCCGATATAAAGACTATTCTATCAGTGCATTGTTCATGCGGATGTAGGGGATTTAAATCTGCTTTCGAGGAGGAGAGTAGAAAACTTGTTTCTCTTAATCACACGCACATCCATCATGGCCGAATCTGTACCTATGGTAAAGGAGGCTGAAACGCCGTTGACAGACGCCGAGATCACCGTAAGCATCTATCCATATCATTTTGAAACAGGTTGGTAGGGTTAACGTATGATCCATATAGGTCTTGCGTCGACAGTATGAAAAAGAAGGCGAGTTCGTAACGATCCAGACGAAATTCAACTATGCATGGGGACTGATCAAGTCGAAGAATCGGGATGACATGGTGCTAGGCATCACTCTGTTGACTGGTGAGTTGACTACGAGGCAAAAAGAAACAAGCAATGTTGATAAAAGATATGGTAATAGAGATCTACAGAGATTCACCCGAGAGGCGACGAGAGTGTTTGTACTATCTTGCAGTGGGCCATTACAAGCTCGGCAACTATGGTGAAGCACGCCAATTCAACCAGCAGCTGCTCAAGTTTGAACCCAACAACACACAAGCACATGCCCTGAACAAGTTGATCACTGAGAAGGTGTCTCGAGGTAAGATGATGATGAGGATGATAATAAAGATGTGTTTATTTATCATTACATGTTCTTTCTCTGTAGAGGGGGTGATTGGGCTTGCTATTGTTAGTGGCGTATTGGCTGTGGGTGCTGCGCTTGTGGCAGCTATTATCAAGCGACGATCCTCCAAGCAATAACGCGTGAGCCGCGTGCAAACACATCTTCTATGGCGGCCTTTTTTTCCCCTCCGTTTCCTTGACCGCGTTTCTTTTTCCCTTTCAGCTTAAACGTATATCCCCACTTCATGCCTTCTCTCCACACTATGCTTGAACCTGTGCAAAGCAACGGCCACACGGCCTCTTTACCTGATACACAAACCGACGACAATAAACTTCAGCAATCGCAACAACTCCCAATGCAGCGTACTCCTTCTGCCATGTCCGTTGACAGCCTTGACTCTGATCCAACAGCAGGCATGAAGCGTTCAAGTGATGCTATGGATCAAGATACCGAATCAGAAGAGAAGCGTAAACGACGGACCGGATCACCAGCAGGCACGTTGCCCACCATCAATGAAGCGCATCGCCGAAAGAGAAGTAGTCGATCTTCAGCACAACCAAGGTGGCACAACCAAGCATACATGTTGTTCCTCGCTCTGCGTGAGAGTCCCAATCGATCATTGCCAAGGAAACAACTCATTGATGGCGCATTGGAAATGGATAAGCGTATCAGCAAAGATCGAGGTTTGCCCAAGGTGTTCAAAGGCAAGGTATGGATCATCATCATCATGGTGCCTTATGAATGAGTAGGAAGGGACTCATATCGTGTGTGTGTGTGTGTATGTGTGACAATAGACGCCTGCGAATTCTGCATCTGCTAGCTTGACAACCAACACCGATCGGCTCTTTATCCCATTCAAACCAGAAGGAAGTCGCTCCACCCATTTCAAGCTTGCCTATGAACCAGGGAATTTTCAAGGTGCTGTGGAAGAGTATCGAAAGTGGGAGAGGAAGCTCGTCGACCATGATTGGCCGTTTTGTTTTGGCGTTTTGAAAAAGAAGCCTGAGAACGAGGCACCAAAAGAGAATCAGGATGGGATGATCGCATGTACAGCAACAACAACAAATGCACCCGTGGATGGATTATTGCAACAATCAGCTACCACCATTGACAATGTCAAGGATTCCATGGATACAGATTCTCTTACTACAACAGCAACAACGACTGCAACATCAAATGACCCTGTACCAACAGCAGCAGCAGCAACAGCACCTGGATCATCATTTACATCAACATCCCAAGAGATTTCAAATGGCCAAGACAAGCCAACTGAGCAGCCAGTGGTACCTGAAGTGAAGCTGGAGGATTTGGATTTATCGAATGTACCAAAAACATGGAGGGATATTTTACGAGTGGGTGATTCAACAATCCCAAATGCAGGCAAGGGACTGTTTGCCACACGAAAGCTGCCACACAACACACCCATTGGATTTTATTTTGGTGTTCCTATGACTGAAGACGAATATGATTCACTCAAGGATCGTGTGGGCCGTGCTTCTGAATATTCTATCATGTATCGACGTACCGTATTGGATGCCACAGATAGCCAAGGACAACCCTTTACTGATCCAGACGGCGAAATGTATTGTCCTTTCCACTTTATGAATGAGAGCACGGAGAAGCAATCCAACATTTTGTTTATTGAAGGAGCTGTGGTGAACCAAGTTATTTGCTGGACCAAACGTGATATCGAGCCTGGCGAGGAGTTGTTTGTGTGGTATGGAAGTGATGTTGAACGTCATTGGAATGCCCCTACTACTACTACCTCTTCCTCCTCTTCCCCACGTAAAAAAGACAACCATTCTCTTCCCTCCTCTACTATGACTACTACCACCGCTACTAATAACACCACCACCACTACCACACCTCCACCTTCATCATCTCCTTCCCCCACTGCATAATTGTGACTAATAATACAAGTAAAACAACCGTGATTTCTTTTGATGTATGTTCAGGAACTATATAAATTGGATACTAGCAGTAATATCGTAAATGGGGTGAAATGGGGCATATATACGATAAGAGGAGGGGCTGATGCAAGGATTTCTTTTTACGATGGATGATAGTAATGCAAAAGTCAAATAATTGGATCGAGTGAGCGGATGGTGATGGTGTATACAAAAGCATATAGAATGGTGGATATAGGGATCAGCAAATGTATGAGGATGATGATGATGTGTGGAAGTTGTTGTTGTTGTTGTTGCTGCTGTGAGTGCCACCAGGGGAAGAAGGTAATGGATGATGAGAGGAAGAAGCATCGTTGTAGTGTGATGAATAATGAGAGGCAGGGGTATCAAGATGATGATGATGATGATGATGGCGAGACACTGGTTGAGGTGGTGGTGATGATGGAAGTGTTGTATTAGGCATGCTTTGATTACTACTGCTACCACGGCTACTGGATGTAGTGGATGTCGTGGATGTGATGCTGCTGTTACTGAGACCTCGTTCCATGGCAGGCGGAGTATGCATAAAAGCTTGTGGATCGGGAATGATTTGTTTCCAGCTTGTTTGACGTGGAGGAGACTGAGATCGAGCACGTAGTCTGAGTGAGGTTGTGATCTTTTTCAATATGCTTGAAGTGTGATGGCTTGAATTGCTTGTTGTGCTTGTCACCGAGATATCATCATAATCGGCAGACCACGTGGTGGGAGGAGAAAGAGTGGAGGATGACCAATGATGAGCGTTGTCTGCATGGTGATGTGCCCTTGCTGACAATGGGATGACCGGAACAGGAGGAACAGGAGAAGAATGTGCAGGGGCCATTTCGTGTCCTGATAATGAGGAACAACTACGTAATCGACGTGGTGGAGAAGATGGAGAAGATGGAGATAATAAAGATTTTGATGACTTGCTGGGTTTTGGTGTAACCGTAGGAGTAGCAGCAGCAGTAGCGGCGATAGCCATCCGATCTGGATCCGTTGCAAAAGGAATAAAAGCGCTAATCCTCATCAATTCCACAACAGCAACACAAGGAGGCTTAAGCAATGCTGGATGAAAACAATGTTGATCACGATGCGTCTGTAATAATTGATGGCGTAATTCATATGGGATATTCACTTCTTGAGGTGCATTGGTGAAAATGAAACGCTCCAAGATATCCTGAAACTTGGCCCTGAGTGTCTTGAATCGAATTTGCAACTCATGATTCAGCATAGGTTCCTCATCCAAACGAAACCAAAATGCCATGCTTTGTCCATCCAGCGTAGGCACCGTTGCATGAGACTTCAACGTATCTGGGCTACTGCCAAAGTACAAACGTGCCGATTCTCGATAATCTGTCACCGCCATGTAAAAGGACAAGTTTTCAGAACAATAGGTTTGTTCCAGGTAATCGGCAAATTCACGAAGGCTATACGGACGAGAGGCTTGGTTCTCAAGCACCTTCTCCAGTGTCAACCCGTCCGTTGCTGATACGATGCTGCTGTTGCTGTCACCATGGTGGCAAATGGGCGGTCGTGATGCTTGGGTGACTTTGTCAGGTATTGTCATTGAGGAGATGGTTCAAGTGGCATGTACAATCGAGTGAAGAGAGAGAGAAGAGAGAGAGAGAGAAGAAGAAGAAAAGAAAAAAGGGGATATGAAACAAAGAGAGAGAGAGAGAGAGAGAGAGAGAGGAAAAAGAAAACAACACCACTCAACAAAAGGGACTCAAGTATTACACTGACTTAAACAACACACAATTGCAGACCACCACAACTCTGATTGTCGTGCCGATTCCGCTCTTTGATGTATCACAGGGCATTTCTCACTCATCCTCCCCCACCAAAAATAGATCGATCATGTCACTTTGTATTGATTACTCCCCCACATGTCATTTTTAATAACACCACAGTTGTGTGTCAGCGTGCGCGTGTATGTGCGCGTGTCAATGTCTCTTTTGTGTATCATTAATCTATTCTATCGCTGTAGGATCATTTTGACAGTTTTCTTTTGGATGATCTTGTTGCACGTCCAATATCGTGCTTATCAGCAAATGAATTTGTCAACACAAGAAAGTACGTTGCACATAAAGTTGGGATACCGAACCAATCTCTCTCTCAATTAAAATGATATTCTCCATCAGTCACCAGGGATCACACGCAAGCTTCTTCTTTAATGGGCAATCTCATCGCCTCCTCCACCAAGTCGGAATCCCATATCATATCATGTTGTTGCCCACCAATGATCCACAATACAAGCTCAGCACCTCAGCTACTACATAGTATCTATCTGATCCTCGAATTGGGCTATTATGCATAGTCAATGACACTTTTTAAAAGGGGAAACGACAAGGAGAGCAACCATTTCTTTTTCCTTTGTTGGTACGTGCAGGGAACCCAACAAGGCTTAAAGAATAATGCATCACTCAAAGGAGCTTGTTGCATGCAGGATATGGGGAAATCACTTTTTAGAGTCACAATGGATGGGGTTGTTGACGTTTTCCAACATGGATTGTGTGATGCGTGTGTAAGTATAATATACGTGTGCGTGTGTGCCCATTTCTTTGTTCCTATTGCTTTCAGCCATTTGTGCGACACAAATCAATAAGTTTTAAGTTCTTGGATTACCAAGCACACGTGAGACAGCGATCGAGCCCTTACTATCCTACCTATTTATGCATGTGCACGACAGCCCTGCAGGGACAAGGTTCGTTCCCTGGGAAAATCCAATTTGGACATTTGACTAACTCATGCCATCATCCTTTCACCTTCACATTTCTTAACATGTGTGCAAGCGTGTGTGTGTGTTTTTCCACATGGATCACGCTGTCCAAATGGTGCGTGTACTACTTTGCATCATGAATGTCATTCTTTGTTTCTTGTATGCATAATATTAACGTTCATCTATATATCCAAAAATGGGAATGGGAGGCTCACGTCGATCAATCACAACGTTATCTACCATACACCATATACTCGATTTCCCCATACACTATTTGGCTATACATACGAATACCCTATAATAGATGCACCAGCAAGCATACGCTTTGTTTTTGTCTCCAAGACTCATTTCGTGTGGATGGGTATGCTTTAGAAATATGAGAGTGGCTGTGCACTAGCGGCTTTGTGCGACATTTAGGACACAGGCAGTCAGCGTGGTGATCAAAGAAGTTTGATTTGTAGGAGGTGATAAGGTCTATGCTTGCATCTTGTATTTCATTTCTGTATCCTGGAGCCGTTTATGTTATCCCTTTTTCTTCTATCCCTCCCTGCCAATACCATCATAGACATTGCCTCTGTCACTCTGCTATGGCCCTGAAAAGAGAAAGAGGGTTATCATCATCATCCCGTCACAGGAGGCCACATGTTTAAGCTTGTCCATGATGTATACCAACAAGTCTTACTAACTTGACGAGAACTCTTTTTTTTCTCCCAACAGCCACCACCTTGCATACAGCTTCTTTCCTTACCCCTCCCCTCTAAAGGTCATTATGTACTTCCCCTTTCCCGATAAGGCGTCATCATGTATATTTGTGCACAACGCCGCATGAGCATGGTAATAGAGAAAAGCATTTTGAAAATGTTGCAAGTCTCAAAAGGTAAAAGGAAAGGGAGGAGACATGATACTCTTGTCATTGCATATCTTCGTTTGTCTAGACTCGTAAAGCATACATACTCTCTTTTGTATGGGTGCTATCCACTTCACTTTTGCTGAAATCCAAGCCTACCCCATGATCCCACACGACAATGCATTTGATCTCTGCCAATACGAGGCCAAGTGCCTCATAGCTCATGATCCTTCTTTAACAATTGCGATACAAATGTATTATTCGTGATCCAGCTATAGATTCATAACCAGGTGTTGTACTTGGGAGGTATTCAGCCGCACTTTACATGAACCAACTACCTGAAAGATGCATTACTTGTCACAAATAAAACTCTTGTTATTGAAAGTGATTGCTGATTTAGCTCCTACTACCTGCTTTGATCCATGCAGTCATAAATTGGGTCCTCATGTGCTTTCCATTTCGCTATTTATACCCAAGCAAAGCTGTTTTCTCTTCACACCGATGCATATGGAATGATACCACATTAACACAATCAGGTTCGTTGTGCTAATAGTAGCACTTCCTAGCGCTAAAAGGGGGTCGTCTCACAAAAGCATTAGGATTGATTAGCTGGTAAGCGCGTGAATCAATCGAGTGGGTGCCATGTACACCCTACTAAAGAAAACGTCTCTACAGGGGCATCATTCTTCATTATCATGGTGAATGTGAAATTTTGACTACATACGCGTCTCTTATGTGTGCATGGTGGAGCAATGCCCACTTTACCGCATGTGGTACTAATGACTACTGTGTCAATGTTTGTTTTTTATTCTGCAGTCTGTAATGCAATATCAACGTGTGTCTCTAGTTGTGATGCATAATGAAAACTAATGGATGGCAAAGATGATATAGCAAAAAGCTCTATTTTATTATATACAACATGATGGATCCTACATCTAATACCACTATTGATGTCTATGGTGCGTGAAGCAGAGGAAAGTGTCGGGTCCAATGAAGGTTGAAAGTAGATCCACCATGTGCTACAAGGTGCAACCCAACCCAACAAGCTTTTCCCGATTTTTGTTGTTTTCCTTTTTTCTTCTTCTCTTACCTCTTTCCCATTTCGACGACAGGGTGCCTCATGTCGGTTGTATCTGCACAAAGCAAACGATCCAGACCCGGCAGCTCGTTGGAGATTCCTTCTCCTTCCGACATTTCTTCCTCCTCAAGCCGACAACGCCAGTCTAAAAAGGATGAGGTATGCCACTGAAATCACACCAATGCGAACACCCGCCATTGAACCATGAAGCATAGGCCATTCGTAAGAAGATTGAGCAAGAATTGTCAAAGAAGCGTGGCAGCACCAGTCGCATTCGACACACGAGAAAAGTCGCTGGCACTGTTTCAGCGTTGAGACCAGCTCAGGCACTCACTGTTCGAGATCATATATCGGTGATGGAAGCTGCTCAGTTGATGGCTGCTAAACGAAGTGATTGTGTACTCGTGGTGGATGATGAAGGACATCTTAGTGGCATCTTTACGGTATGAAAGGGGGTGGCGACATAGGGGTCATATGCTCCTTGTTCTTTTTACTCATTGTATTCCAATTTCTAGGCCAAAGATCTCGCTTATCGCGTTGTTGCTTCACATATGGATGCAAGGTAAAAGACAACATATTATCACTCTTCCTAAGCTCATCTTTTTCTTATAGAGCAACCACCGTCAACGATATCATGACACGTAATCCAATGTGCGTCACCGCTGATACTTCTGCTCAAGATGCGTTGAACCTGATGGTGTCTCGTGGTTTCCGTCATTTGGTAAGTCAAGTGATCTTGAGGAGGGGTAGGGTGGGGGCACGGACATTTTATTCCCGATCATCCATTGTCTCACACTCACACACATTCACATTCAATTACAGCCCGTTTGCAATGAGGAAGGCGACATCTTCGGCTTGTTGGATATCACCAAATGTTTGTATGAAGCATTGAACAAGATGGAGCGTGCATATGGATCATCTCGCAAGCTATACGATGCATTGGAAGGTGTCGAACGTGAATGGAATACGAATAGCCCCGCTCAACTTGTTCAATACATGGAAGCATTACGCGAGAAGATGTCATGCCCTGATTTGACAACGGTGTTGGATAATTCGGCTCCAGTGCAAGTTCCTGTCAAGGCCAACGTTCGTGATGTTGCCAGGCTTATGAAAGAGCATCATACCACGGCTGTCTTGGTGATGGATCATGGTGGATTGGCTGGTATCTTTACGGTAATGATCATCTTCTTGGGGGCTAAAGATGGGATGGCTGATGTGAATTGTTTCATAGTCCAAGGATATTGTGCTTCGTGTCATTGCTGCAGGTCTTGCACCCGAGACATGTTCTGTTGTTCGTGTCATGACACCTCATCCTGATACAGCATTGCCCACTACTAGCATTTTGGATGGCTTGAAGAAAATGCATGGTATGTATAGCAAAAGGAAGGGAAGGAAATGGATTGGTATTGATAAAGTATCCATGTTAGATGGGCACTATCTCAACCTACCGGTGATTGATGACGATAAGCAGATTGTGGGATTAGTCGATGTTCTTCGATTGACCTATGCTACGCTTGATCAGGTAAATGACAAGTTAATCATGCATGGACATAGGATCCAGCAGCTCACATGTATAAATAGATCAACAGCATCGAAGGCAATGGAAATGATGGTGGCAAGTTTTGGAGTAGCATGTTGGCTGGTGACCACACGGAGACCGATTCGGCCATTTCAGATTCTTTATCTCAAGCCGCCAATTCGCACATGTTCCAGCCACCTGTAAGCCCACATCCTGATCGCACCATGTCGCCACATAGTCATGCTGGTATCGGTGGTAGCCAACATCCTGCTTATTCGGAAGTGATGCCTGGTGATAGCACTTCAGTAGCCAATGCCGATGACAACCGATCCACTGTATCATCCCACGCTGCTGCTGGCACCTTTGCATTCAAGTTTAATTATGGTTCCAAGGCACACCGCTTCCGATGCGAATACTCCAGCTATGCCGTTGTACGTGATCATGTACGACAAAAGATCATGCCCGACCATTTGTCCTTGTCGCAATCGTATGTAAAGGTCGATGCTGAAGAACAAGAACATGATGGCGACAATTGGCTCAATATTGCTTATCTCGACGATGAAGATGATGAGGTCTTGATGACTTGTGATTCTGATCTACAAGATGCAGTGGAACTTGCACGTAAACAAGGACATGATCGCGTACGTTTATTTGTTCATGATGCCCTCGCCGAACAACAACAACAACAACAACAACAAAAGGCTGCTGAAGAAGCTGCTGCTGCTGCTGCTGCACAAGCATCTGTTGAAGAAAGCATGACAACCACGCAATCAGGTACAATGGATGCTCCTCCTGGTCAACCTACAATTTCAGCTATGCAACAAGAAATGGAAAATGAGGATGACAATGATAAGCAACATCAACGATCAATTCGACGTCGTCATCGCCATCGTCATGATAATGAAGATTCGAGTGATATTGAAAGCGCAACATCTGAGGATGAAGATGAAGAAGAAGAGCAGGGTCAAATGGAAAGACAACGTCGTCATCGTCATCGTCGTCGTGGTGGAAAACGAGATGCAGCTGTCGATCTCAATTTGCCGATACCACAAGAGATGCTATTGCCTGCAGCGATCACTTTTCTCGGTGTGGTGATCCTTGGTGTATTTACAATTACCAAGCTCACAGGATCGTCATCCGATCGACGCTTTTAAGCATGCACAAGCAGTACTATTATCACCATCCTTTAGAGCCAAATGATTTCCTCCTACAGCATTCCAATCAACATCACCATGCTTTACACCCCCACACACATATACACCATCCGCAACAACACAATTAATTCCTTATATCCAACTCTTAATGAACATGAAAACTTTGTTGTTTGTTTCAAGCGTGTGTACATATGCATGTTTAGTGAGAAGGGAAAAGGATAAATAGAAACAACAATGGAGATCCCTTTTTGCACCTTGTCACATGGTTTGCAGAACATGGGGCTGGATTCATGAAACGTTGGAGGCGGGTTATCTGCATATGGACTTGCAGTTTTGGGGGGTCACGGTAGCAACCGCAATACTACAAAGAATGATTCGTTGGTAACCTATGTATGTAATGATAATCTTTCTTCTATGCATGTTAGGGATAAATAGACCGGTGGAACTTTTGGGGTGAAGGAAATAAGGGGGGATTTGAAGGAAGGCACTGGCAGCACCCAAATGTCGGTGCGCACAGACCGGGAACAAAGGCACACACACACACACACATACACACATACACACATCCTTTGTTCCCCCAACTATTAAACATCACATACGCCTCTATGCATATCCACACACAGTTAGCTCTGACGCTTTTCACATGATATTTGTACGTTTAGCTATAACATGCAACCCAACAGATGTCCTCCTTGTCTCTCACTTGTCCAAACAATAATACACGTTCAAAATACCCAGACCCCTCCCGATCCCACTAATACTCAATTACTTGTCAGCTTGATTCCGGTTCCTTGGTCTTTGTTGCATATCAACTTTCTCCGCAGCATTATCCAAAGTGGTCACCATGCAAAATGATGATGATATGTGTATACGTCTGACACCCACAAGATCCATGTTGCCATACACAAGCCCGATGCATGTGTCTTGGTTTCTTTTTTTCTACAATAGATCAATGACTCATGTCGCAAAGTAGGTAACGCTCGGACCACTGACTCCGTAGACCCGCGTTCATACATTATCCATAAACAAGGTTTCTTGAAACAAATGACAAGCGGTTTCCCCCGCCTTAACCCCACTCATATCAAACTTATGCCTCCCCCCAACCACCCTTCATCACCTAAAATGGATGTACCGAGAGCGGCTGGTGGCTCAAATTTAGACAAAAGACGACGTAGTCATAATGAGAGAAGAAGAAAGAATGATGATGATGACTCGCTTTTACTTCCCATTCCGTAATTTCTTGACATATCGCGATCGTCCTGTGATCTTTACCCGCCCACTTCAATGAGAAAACAGGGTTTTATTTGGAAAAGAAAACGAGTGATCCTTTTTTTTTGTAACTTTAACATGTACACGGTGGATTCCTTTACCATAATGTTAACAGTGACCTGTTATTCTTTATCTCAATCCAATAACAAAGAACATTTTATACAATCAACAGCGACCCATGTGTCTTCGTGGCCATAGCATCAACAAACATTTAAAGCGTAAGCAGGCCATTCGACCCCCCAAGTAGAGAGCCAAAAGATAAACTTTCTAACTTTTTCTCCGGTTGGGGATAAACAAACGAATCGATACGAGTGCAACAAAGACGAGAGAGAGAAAAAACACAGAGGCAACACAACAGCAATCATCATGCATGGCCCGTACTCCTGCTTGTGTGCTTATAATCCAGTGGCATATTTGCACGTTCACGCATGTGTACAACATCTTGGACTTTTGTCCCGATTGTCTGACAAGGTCTTTTACAAAAAAAGACAAGCCCAAGCTTGTTTTTGACAAGTGTGGTTCCCGGATACGTTCCGAAAAATCAACAGCTGGAAACAAGGACCGCGTTTGTGTGCCTAGTAAGAAATCATCACTGACCCACCCTGTGTTGTGTAAAAGTACCAAAGAACGATGGGGGGTTGTTGTATTTCATGTATGAATATATGCGTGGATGGTATTAGGTTTGCCTATTTGCTGATCCCGATGCCTTGATATATATATACACATACTTGGACGCGTTACAGCTTTGTTTTGATGAATTTCAGGGACACGCTTTGCAGCTATTCAAAGCAATAGCCAAAGAAAAAGACCATTGCTGGTATGTGTGTGTGAGTGTGAATGAGAGGCCTGGTACGTGTGAAATCTGTCACAAGCGGATAATGGTCCCCGAGGACGCCGCTCATCAAAAGTCATGGGAACATCTGGCAACTGATGTTTAAAGGAATACCGTATATGGACTTCCGCTTGGCCTATCATCACAGCTGTTGTTCATATATCAAACGAGAGAGGGGACGACAAAAATCAAAAAAGAAAACGAGGGTAGAACAAACAGGGCAATCCCGATTTGCCTTTGAAACGAGCGGATCCGATTCCATTGTGTCTATGCACAAACCTACACACAGAAGAAAACTTTTTGCGCGCGCATAGCACAATGCTGACATGCACCGGTGACATTTATATAATATGCTTGCTCACATTTGTGTACTCGAGATTTTCTTTTTCCCCCTTCTCTTCCTGGAATCTTTTCCTTGCAGCAACAACTACAACAAGCATCACTCTCAGCTCCATTTTTACATTTCATATCTCCTCTCTCCCTCTCTTTTTCCTTCCTTTTATTATTCATATACATTACCAGACTTGCCATTCTTTCAAGTATCTCTCTCTCTCTTATTTTATATATAACTCTTTCTCTCACTCACTTTTCACGAACATCATCTGCTGATCAACCACATCGAGTCAACCTTATATTAACATGACGTCTGCGTTTGTACCTTTCCACCAACACTATCATCAGCATCCTTCCAACGACAGTGTTTCTCCACCCACACCACCATTGCCGTCACCACCATTGTACAGCAGCCACTCACCTACAGCTGCTGCGACCAAGCTACCCTCACTGTTTGAGCCTCGTACAACCACGCGTGATCGACGTGATGACAATGCAATCTTTGATACTACACCACCACCATCACTTGCTCTTAGACCCATGGTGATGCCAACAAAGACAACCACCATGTTGCATCATCCCACAGCATCTCCACCTTTTGGATTCAGCTTGCCACCTTTGCAAAATGTCATCTCATCGGCAACAATGGGTGCACCCGAACATGCGCTTTGTTCACCCCCTGAAGAAACGGAAGAGCTTGTGAGTGCTTCATCGCCATCTGTCAGCAGTAGCAGTGATGGCAGTGGTTCGCGTAAAGGGTCTATTGCTTCATTGCTCAACTCCGATCCGGAACTGCGGCTTGGTAATGATCAACATCATCAGTGCCACCAACCATCAGCATTTCCACCCTTATCATTGAAACGTGGCAGCTGCCAAGATGAAGCAGCAACACGTCCCAAGAAAAGAAAATGCAATGATGCACCAACACGACGCACAACATCAACCTTGCGTGGCGGTAGCGATGACGACTCATCCCGAGCAAACAAAGGTTTGCGGCACTTTAGCAAGCAAGTGTGTGACAAGGTGGCGGAAAAAGGCGTTACCACATACAACGAGGTAAAGAAAAGAAAATTCATTTGATACACACACACACACATACACACGCGCGTTTGTGTATGTGGTCACCATTCGGAATATGCCAACAATTCACACAAACACCTGATGATAAATATAGGTTGCTGACGAATTGGCCCTGGACATTCGTGCAAACATGGATAATGAAGTACGTAAATTTCATTGTGTGTATATGCATGCATGTTTCATTGACATGATTTTCATTGTTAGAAACGTTCATTCGATCAAAAGAATATTCGACGCCGTGTGTACGACGCGTTGAATGTCTTCATGGCCATGGATATCATTGCCAAAGATAAGAAACAAATCAAGTGGCTCGGTATTCCTTCTTACTTTGGAGGAAATCACAACCACCAGCAGAATCAAACAAGCCCATCCGATGTTGAAATGGAGAGATACTTGGAGTTGCAAAAGCTTGTGGATCAAGAAGAGGTAATTTTTTCCTTCATGAATCTATAAATGAAGATGACATTGACATGAATGCATGATAATAGCGTCGACAAGCTCATTTGCTCTCATCCATGGATCACACTCGTGGATTGATTCAAGACAAGCTTGCACAACATTTGCAGCTTTGCAACCTCGTTTGGAGAAACCAACATAGCCAACATCATCAATTCTTGTCATCCCAAGACAAGATCTCCCTTCCCTTTTTCATCATTGCTTCACAAGACGATGCACACATTCAAGTAGCCAACGATGGGTATGTTTTCATTGTTTGCTAGCTGACAAGAGTGATGTTGATGCTGACATGCATGTTTTGTAGATTGAGTGCAGAAATTTCTCAAGCTTCATCCGATGCCATGGATGAACAAATGGTGTTTGAAGATGCCGATGTGCTTCGATGCCTCGGTCTCAATCGCCTTTCCCGTGAACAATTGGCAGCATGGCTGCCTGATCCATCATGGCAATCACTCCTATCATCTCGACCTTCGATGTGCGATGACTCAATCTACATCCGATCCAGCGCTGATATGGTCTCAGCAACATCTTCATGATTCTAACAACCATCATTCCAATCTCAACTTTCAATCTTTCATTTTGCCATCTACATGTACTCTCTTTTTCTTATACACTTTCATTCCCACTATGTCTTCTTTTTTTTTTATATCCACACACACGTTTCACACACAAAAGCAGCATTTTCTTCTCTTCATTTTGATTCATTGAACTATCCTCTTCTTTTTCTTTCATCTTGCACATATTTCCATTCCCTTACATATGCAATCACCTACCCTTCATTTTTCTTATACATGTTTTATCAGCTTTATTTCTCTCCTCCTCCCCACCCTGAACTTCACCACCCTCAATCCTCGCCTATTTTTTCACCCTCTCATCACACACACACCTCTTAACTCTGTTTCTATACTGTATGTGTCCTATCTAAGTACCTTATTATCCAAGCAAACAAAGCGTGTTCTATATATTTTTCTATCTTGATATTCAACGAGCTGGTTCTTGCTGTTTTCAGTAATGCCGATAGAGCTGAGGACCCGATGGGTCGGGAAAATAAGGGTTGTTCGTTTCATCACCACATGTTTGGGATCATGGTTTGTGCGTGCATATCCATTGCCGATTTGAAAAGGGGAGGGCCATATTGACGACAAAAAATCCACAAGTTTGGGTTCCAAAATGCTTTTTACTTTTGCTCCTGATGGCCAAAAGTGGCTCTGGGAAAAACGAAGATCCACGCGACATTAGTCCGACAAGGCCTTGCTGCGCCATTGTTCGGATAAGAATAGGCCAAATGTACGAACGCTTGGGCCATGAGTCTATGCATAAACACAAGTCGGACATTCCACCGTTTCCATCCCCTCTTTTTCATTGTATGTGTGTTGCATGTGGGGTTCTGTGTATGCGTTTGTGCCCTTGCTCTCTCTTTCCCATATGCCCATTTATGATAATAAACCATCCGATCCATGATGAAGGGCACACTCTATAACACCCTTTTAGGTGTGGCAAGTGCATCTTCTAGTAGTAGTAGTAGTAGCTATACCACATTTGTGGATCGGGTATTATAGCTTGCTTGTCGTAGTAAAATCAGCATACTTTTCCGATGATCCTTCACACTTTTGTTGGTGGGATGATGTTTTCCTTTTGCCACTTGACACATTGGATGATGAAACACGTTTGATATAGCGTTTGTAAAAGGCTGTATTGCTTTATTGTTATGTTTAGGTGGCCCAAAAAAATTGGGTTACTGCGTGCATTGCAGATGTGCGTGATAGTGTAGAGGGTTTTGCTGCTACCTTGTTGGTTGAAATGAAAAGTCTTATTTATTGTAAAGATGACCGAGAGAGATGCGAGTACCATGGCCTTTCTCCTCCCACACCCCAGAAAAAGCTTATTCATCATCATGGCTGTCCCGTGGTGATACCCCTTTTCGATCTGCATTGCGTCGGAAATCAATTCGAGATCCACTCGCTATGTCTAATGGCAGGTGACTCATACATTATGTAGCGTATGAAGAGTCGAGTTAATCTGACACATCAAGTACCTTTTCCTCTCTCTCTCTCCCTCTCCCTCTTTTGTCTTTTCACCTTTTTACCTCTCCCATGTCGTCTCTTACAGCAACCAAAAGGCGCCTCATCGCCACAGTCACCACTTGTCGTCGTCGCCATTACTCCTTTGTACATCACGCTCCGCTCATCGACCAGCAACAGCAGCAACAATACGGTGCCAATGTGGACGTGGATGACCATTTCTATCGCAACAAGATCCTTGATGAGTATGTCCAGCAAAGAACGACACCGATAACGTTACGGCAACTGCTCTTCTACGAGCGACATATGAATACAGAACGACTCTTGATATCAGCCAACTATGTACGCAAAGAGCTACCGATTCGCATATCACATCGCATTCGCGAGTTTCAAAAGCTACCCTTCATTGTTGGCACCAATCCCCATATTCAACAAGTGTATGATCTCTATTGGCGAGCATTTGAGCGATTACGAAAGGTGCCACCCATCAAGACCTTGGCTGATAATGATGCATATTGCAAGACGCTGGTTGAATCGCTTGAGCAGCATTTGGTGGTGATTCCTCGATTGGCATTGGGAATATCTGAATGCGGGGAGCATATGGGATCGGATCGGATTGATCGATTCATGCAAGCGACATTAAGGTCACGGATATCAAGACGAGTACTTGCAGAACAACATCTTGCCTTGTCTCAACAATATCATCATCGTCAACATGATCATCACGCTGCAAGGACCATCTCATCGATAAGATCGCATCAGGTGATGGATGATAATAATAACGTTGTGGGTGGGAGTGCGGCAGCTGCTGTGTTTAGTAGTTGTTCGGCCAGGGATACGGTGGCACAATGCGCTTCTCTCCTTGCACAAAAGTATTCATTTTCACCTACCCTTGAATTGGATGGCGATGAACATGTGGTATTCACCTATCATTCGGATCATATCAAGTATATCATTTACCAGCTCTTATCCAACGCTTTTCGACACACCATCCAAGCTCATCAACATACATCATCATCATCACCATCATCACGATTACCACCTATTCGAGTCACTATTTGTTCAAATGAGAATGATGTCTTATTCCGCATCTCGGATCAAGGTGGAGGTATTCCCAGCGACGTATATCGACACATTTGGTCATATGGCCATCTACCACGGTTCAACACCTTGCGTACCTTGCCCCAATTAGCAGCACGTATCGCTGAGCTCAAGAATGATCAGTTTATTGGTGCACCTCCTCTCGGTATTGGATTACCCATGAGCCGTGTTTATGCAGAGTACTGGGGCGGTGACATGAACGTCGTATCCATGCCAGGATGGGGTACTGATGCTTACGTGCGTATTCCTCGATTCGGCACACAAAACGAGAACCTCGACATATGTAGCCCTTATGATAATGAAGATCAGCGTCCCATTCACCTTCCTCATTCACCCCCACGTCGTCTTGTCGTATGATTTCTACTATCTTTTGTATCACTCACTCTCACATCATACATCCATACCCCCCATGCCTTCCCTTGATTCTATGTATTTACATGCTCATGCTTCTCTCTCTCTCTCTCTCTCTCTCTCTCTCTCTCTCACTATCTCTTTCAAAGGTGCAGGCCATCCATTCACTATACACACAATCCACAATATATATCTTAATATTACACACACATTATGTATGCATCCTTTCTTTTATACATTGGAGAATCGGTAGGGTTGAGTGCGACGAGAAATAAATCCGAGAATTCGGGGTGAATATAGGTTATTGTTGTTGCTGTTGTAGTACACGTTGTTGAGGTGGATGATGGGACGAACAACCCAAGATGTTAAACCAAGCAAGAGAATGAGGGGTAAAAAGACGGTCAATGCTTCCATAAGAATCCAATCCGTTGTCGTCATAGAAACGAGATGGGGTGGTTGATCAATCATGTCATGTAAAAGCCATGATGCGAGAGCAAGCCCAACTGTAAACACCAAAAAGAGTACATGCAGCAAGAGCACCCATATTCCATCTCTTTTGATGCGTGTAGCAAACCAAATTGTGGTCAAGAGAGCAATGCCCACCAATCCAGTCACTGTGATAGCGAGCCATTCTCTTGTAAGGGGTAAGTTGTCGTCCAACAAAAGCATGATCAGCACATGTGCCACTGTCAGTCCACAATAGACCAATAATAAACCAAGCACTGCCCATTGTCTCCAGCTGTTTAAATGTCGTTTTTCTTCTTGTTGCTCATCATTATGATCGATGGATGATTGTTGTTGTCGTTGTTTTGCCAGTTGTATCAGTTGACACTCGACCATCCCAGCGTATAGCAAGAGTGAAAAAATGGGGAGATGGTTAACCACTGGGCTTCGGTCAGCAATCAGCAACACTGCATCGCCTTGATATCGTCGTGCTAAACTGATCACAAGCGCTAGTAGTGTCATGAGGGTAAATAAAATGAATGGCAATAGTAACATGTTGTGTCTGCAGCGTGCAACAAGTAACACAAGTATGAGGAGTAATATTGTGCTATACACTGTCCACGCAATGTCCTGCTGAAAGGCCATATTGGTGTTGGCGGATTACTGTATCACTCTTTTACAAGGTTATAAAGAAAAGAAAGGCAAAAGAAAAGGAAGGAAAAGGTAAAACAACAATGGTGCGGCAAGATAAAAGAAAAAGGGCCCATGCATGATTCGGTTGCATACTCCTGCTTCATCATCCACTCACTATTGCCAAGCATTTGTAACTTTCCTAATCAGCCTCCCCCTCACTTCCATTATCCAACCCTCTTTTCCCCAGTCGTCATTAATATATGCATCATCTTTCATCACCACGTTATTCCTGTTATCCATATCTCCAACCACCCAGCTTATATCAATACCAGTAAATCAATCCTTCCTACATAAAATAGGCATACACACACATACACACAAACAAAGCAAGAGTGCTCTACTACATTTCAGGTCAAGTGTCGGGAATGCATGGAAACCAACATGCAATACACACACACACTGTGGAATGACATCGACACACATACCCAAAAAGACCAACCTGTCATTTGTCATCCCTAGCAATGTTCTCACGAAACAAATATATACACTATCCTATCCATCTCGCTTAACTAGAAATGTGTATTATGCTTTGTAAATGAAATAATATGTGTGTCTTGTTATCTACAAACGCTCAATGACCAAAGCAGAGGCACCACCACCACCATTGCAGACACCAGCAGCACCGTACTTGGCGTCCTTTTGCTTCAAAACGGTCAACAAAGTGGCGATGATACGAGCACCAGAGCAACCAAGAGGATGGCCCATAGCGACAGCACCACCGTAAATGTTACTATAGCATTGCATCAGCATCTTAATATATATATATATATCCCATTCAACCCCAAAAAGAAAATTACTTACACCTTGTCAGCAGAAAGATTGAGCAACTTGAGGTTAGCACAAGCGACAACAGAGAAAGCCTCGTTGATTTCATAGAAGGAGATGTCTTCAGGGGTGAGACCAGCGTGCTTGATAGCCTTGGGGATAGCGAGAGCAGGCGAATCGGTGAACAAGTTGGGAGCTTGAGCAGCATCAGCCCAGCCACGGATCTTTGCAAGCAAGGGCAAGTTGTACTTTTCAGCGGCTTCACGAGAAACAAGGACAAGAGCAGCGGCACCATCCGAAAGAGGGGAGGCATTGGGAGCTGTAACAGAGCCATCCTTCTTGAAAACAGGGCGCACAGCACGCAACTTTTCTTCGTTGAGCTTAGCAACCTCATCATCTTGTTCAATCACACGATCGGGTTTGCCACGGCCACCGGAAACAGTAACAGGAACAACTTCATCCTTGAAAACACCAGCAGCATAGGCAGCTTGAGCACGCTTGTAGGATTCAACAGCATAGTTGTCTTGATCTTCACGTGAGAAGCCATGGCGTTCGGCACATTCCTCGGCAGCCACACCCATAGGATAATCATTGTACACATCAGTCAAACCATCCTTGAGCACACCATCAACAACTTCAGTATGACCATAGGTGGAACCAAAACGTTGCTTGGGAAGATAGTAAGGAGTGTTGGTCATCGATTCCATACCACCAGCAACAATCACATCAGCGTTGCCCAAAATGATGCTTTGTGCAGCAATGGATACAGCTACATGCTCTTCATTAGCGACGATGCCCCATCTTATCTTTTATGATGATACAACTCACCCTTCATGCCGGAAGCACACACCTTGTTGACAGTGGTGGCAATGGTGGTATCCTTAAGACCAGCACCAAGAGCAGCTTGACGAGCAGGGTTTTGACCCACATTAGCGGACAAGACACAGCCAAAGACAACTTCCTCAACAGCTTCAACGGGCACATTGGCCTTCTTGATAGCAGCTGTATATATATGGATCAGATCATATCAATACCTTTATCCACAAAGCATACACGTGCTATAAGACGTACCTTCAATAGCAATAGAACCAAGCTTGGGAGCGGTCAAAGAACCCAAGGAACCATTGAAACCACCAATGGGAGTACGGGCCACAGCAGCAACGTAGACTTCTACAAGATGATGGGTCTCCATGTGAGTACTTGTTCACGATCGCGATCGCACCCAATCTCTGTTCTTCTCAATGGCGTCTACTATCTTTGTTGAAAGGAGCAACTTACCACGCTGAGTCATTGTATGTGTATTAAGAATAAAGAGAAGGTGTTGGGAAAAAGAAAGAACGGAGCCAGGTACAGCAGCAAGCTTTGAAGGCTTTCAAAACTCTAACCCGAGACGTGCAGCGGAAATTGACTTGGCGAATCAGCGTTTTCCAATGGCGAAATTGTCATTGCTCATGTTGCGTGATCCACCTTCCCCCCACCCCCAACCCCAACATTGATTGTTCTTTGGATGGA